AGCAGTCTCAATGCCCGGATCGGGCGGGAAACACCGGTAACAGTCACCCTCGTCACTATAAGTCACAGCATACATGGCAGCAAGAATAGCATCAAAGTCAAGATCAAAGATAGCTACACCTGCCCTAGACAGCTCTCCCCAGCGGGGGATCTCAGCGGCCTCCGGGAACTGGTGACGCCAAGCGTCCGTCAGGCGGCCAAAGCAGCGCTGGGTGGAGTGGGCACCCCCACACTGCTCACCCGCGCGGCCGCCGGTGCGAAGGACGTAGGTGCACGGACCAAAACCCCCACCACACTGACGCGCAGCGTACCACTCACGGAGCTGCTGAGGGGGGGGGATGTCCCGAGAACGCTGCTGCTGCTGCTGCTGCTGCTGGCGCTGACCACCACCGGAGCCGCTCCGCTGCGAAGCGCCACCCCGACCAGCTCCACCTCCTCCACCACCGCCTCCTCCACCTCCGCCACCACCGCCGCCTCTGCTCCCACCGCTACCGCCTCCGCCGCCTCCGCCTCCACTGCTGCCACCGACACCTCCACCCCCGCCACCACTCCCACCGCCACCCCCACTCCCTCCGCCGCCTCCACCGCCACCTCCGCCACCCCCGCTAGCTCCACCCGCGCCCTTGCCCCCTTTGCCCTTGCCAGAGCGGCGTCTCCCGCTAGGGGCAGACGCCGCACCGACCGACTCAAGACCAACAAGGTCGCCGCAGCAGCAGAGGCGACAGAGGGCAAAAGGGGGGAAGGGGAACACCCCTCAAAGATGGGGGTGCGAGGGTCACCACGAGAGGCTCCTACAGCGACTATGCTCTTCTCCGCTGCTAGGAGGGCCTTCTCTAGGAGGTCAACAGTGAGAGTGGTGGGACAGACCGAGAGGAAGTGGTCCCTGACTACACGAAGGGAGTCAGGGAGGCGGGTGACTATATAATAGAGAGTGATGTACATGGGGGGGGGGTTCTTGGCGCAAAACTCAGCAGGAAGCGCAGCGCAGTAGCGAGTGTCACTAGTGCGGAGGTGCGTAATGAGATCAGCGACTGTGGGAAAGGCAGCAAGGTCAGGGAAGAGGTATGGCAGCATGAGGCGGCTCAGTGTAGCAGTGGCAGGGGAAGAGTAGCGCGCAACTACGGCGTCGTACAAGGTTTGAGCACTCTTGTACTGACTAAAGTGTGCACGCTCAGTGGTAGGCAGGTGGCGACGCACAGCAAGACGTGTAGCAGCATCGCGAGTGGCCCACTCGGAGCAAACAGTGGCGTCGGCATCGGCAGCAGGGGCAGGGGAGGCACCAGAAGTGAGGTCAAAGAGGGAGAGACCGTCTGCCCTATCGCACTGTAGGAAAAGCTGCAGGTCATCTACCTAGACCTCAAAGTCAATGGCCCGACCCTCAGCGTCAAAAGTGAGAACACTGGGGGTGGCCATGAGAGTAGTAGGCTAGCAGTGCTAACTGTAGGATAGGGGCAGTGCAGTGACAGAAGCGCTGCTCTCACGAGACAGGGCGTTTCGGGTAGCTCGGCAGCAACTCCGGCTCGGCGGCCACAGCGGCTCGGCTCCTCTGCGGCTCAGGCGGCTCGGGCGGCTCAAGCGGCTCAAGCGGCTTGGGCGGCTCGGGCGGCTCGGGCGGTTCGGGCGGCTCGGGCGGCTCGGGCGGAACGGACGGCTCGGGCGGCTCGGGCGGCTCAGGCGGCTCGGGCGGCTCGGTAGGGCGGCGGGGCCGCAGCGAAGGGCGGCGGGGCCGTAGCGAAGGGCGGCGAGGCCGCAGCGAATGGCGGCGGGGCCGCAAGGTAGGCGGCGGGGCCGTAGCGAGAGGGGCAGCGGGACCGCAGCGAAGGGCGGCAGAGCCGCAAGGTAGGCGGCGGGGCCGCAGCGAGAGGGGCGGCGAGGCCGCAGCGAAGGGCGGCGGAGCCGCAAGGTAGGCGGCGGGGCCGCAGCGAGAGGGGCGTCGGGGCCGTAGCGAAGGGCGGCGGGGCCGTAGCGAAGGGCGGCGGGGCCGCAAAGAAGGGCGGCGGGGCCGCAGCGAAGGGCGGCGGGGCCGCAGCGAAGGGCGGCGGGGCCGCAGTGAGGGGCGGCAGGGCCGCATCGAAGGGCGGCGGGGCCGCAGCGAAGGGCGGCGGGGCCGGGACAGGGCGGCGCCGGGGCCGTAGGGCGAGGCGACGGGGCCGTAGGGCTAGGCGACGGGGCCGCTAGGACGATGGGGCCGCCAGGGCGACGGGGCCGCTAGGGCGACGGGGCCGCTAGGGCGGCGCGACGCAGTGAGAGAGAGGAGCGCGACTCGGGCTGAGCGCGCTCCGGGCAGGAAAAAAAAATCGATGTGGTGGGCCCTATGCACAGTTCCCACTAGGGAACCTGCTCGATACCATGAGAAGACTGAAACGAGAATGATTGACTAAGGAACGAAAGTGATACAAATATGCAACCCTAGAAATGTGTACCCCATATAGGCTACCCCACTATAGCCTACACAGCATTATAATTTGACAGTAGGCAGCAATTAGTGCGTCCAGTGATTTTTTTTTCACATTTATTTTTTAATAAATATAAAATATGAAAAAAAAACTGGCCAAATCGATCGCAATAGGTTGCTTCGCAACCCAAAAAAAAGTTCGGCCCTGTTCGCCACGCCTTTGCTGGGCCTCCAAAGGGATGGGCGGGGGCTCCGGAATCCGCCCTGCACCTTCGAAAAGGGCTGAAATCAGGGTTTTAGGGCCGGTCAGACCGACAAATCCTGTCGAGCCTGAAGATCCCCTCCGAACCTCGGTGGGCTCGCTGTCGTGGCGAACACCCACATTTCTGGGCCATCAAAGGGATTGGCGGGGGATCCGGAATGCGCATGGCAGTTTCCTGCCCTGCCAGCTAGAAATCCCATCCCTTCCCTCGCCTCTCCCCCGTGCAGACCACTAATTTCGGGGGTTCATCCCCTTCATGAAAAAAATTTGCCCCTGAAGGAAGGGGGGAGGCAGGCGCTAGATCCCCTTCACCCCCTTCCTGATCCCATTGGCGAAATTTCAGTCGAGGGCGAGCCCCCCCGGACGTAATTTGCAGCTTCCTTTGCACCTTCTAGAGCCCTCGCCCATCCCCCGCCCCTTGTCTATAGCGTGGTCGTGGCGAACACGGCCTTCGAGTGGTCCCAGTGTGACTGGAAGGCTACCGAGCAGGGCCTAGGAATCTGCTTAGGCTATTTTGTCGTGGGGAGTTCTGTGACGACGACAGCCATGGCCACAGCCAAGCACAGCGTTTAGGGTACAAGCAGAAAGAGCCTCCGTTATACGAGGCACTACTGACTAGAACCGCCTTTCCATGCTCCAGTAGCATTGCATTTTTCAACTTATCGAGGTTGCGTGTATCGAGTACGATTCTAAGCGATTCGTGTTTTGTTGTTCCACCCGACCCACCTGCGTCCGCGGTTCGGGCTGCCGGCCTGCGAGAGTGATCTGCCAAATATCCTTGTCGACCGATCGCAGCATGGCACGTAGGACGTAGCGTGCTGTAGAAACGACGGGTGTTGCTTGAACAGGAGGAACCGTCAGCGGACGCTTTTCTTTAGGCGCCTCGAAGCTTTGAGGCGCATCGCAAGTCGTCACACGCATTTCGACTTGAATGTATTCGGATCATTCATGGTAGTGTACACTGAATCTGGCGAAGCCCCATAATCAGCATCATCAGCATCGTCCTAGTCGAATCACGTCCGCGCGTCATCACGGTGCAATGATGGATCCTGCGCTACACACTCGAAGCGACACCATCAGCAGCACGCGGCTTTCGCAGCGGACAGTTTGGAGAGAGCCACAAAATGACTCAGATCCTGCAGAAAGGACGTTGCGCACGTGGCGGACGCTGACTCGGAGTTGGATCCAGCGTGGCAAAATGAGGGTTTCGCTGGGAGCGGTAGCGTGGTTGTTGGTGCTCGTGCTTCTCCTGTCCCAGCCGTTCCAGGGTACGCGCGTCTCACTACTTCCAGTCACAATCCCTACCCCCGCTTAGATGTCATTTCTGATTTCATGTCGTCGTTTTGGGCTGATAATTCGTTGTCTGTCTCGACATGTGTGTCTAGATTCGCGGCTTTGGTTCTGCTGCTGTGGTCTTCCCATACTGACATACACACTCAACCTTTCTTTCCTCCTCACCGCCTGACATCTCTCGCAACCGCATCTCGCCCTTTGCCATCTCGTCTTACCACATGCGAACGCGTTTCCATCGTACCATACCCCATTTCTGTTCTCGCAATACATCCCTCCTCCCCGTCCCGCATTTCAGTGGTTCTTGGCTCGGCAGGCCCTTCCGTGCCATCCAATGGCGCAGAGAGTGACTTTTGAGTCGACCCAAAAGTCACCACAATACATCTCTCCTCCTCCTCCCCCATTTCTGTGGCTCTTGGTTCCGCAGGCCCTTCCATGGCATCCAATGGCGCAGAGAGTTCGCCTGGCGTAGCCACATGCGAACGCGTTTCCACCGTACCAGACCTCATTTCTGTTCTCGCATTGCATCCCTCTCTCCCCGTCGCCCCGCATTTCAGTGGTTCTTGGCTCCTCAGCCCCTTCCGTGGCATCCAATGGCGCAGAAATTTCGCCTGGCACATCCACACCTGCTGAAGAAACACCTGGAGCAAAAACACCTGGAGGAGAAACACCCGGAGGAGAAACACCACCTGAATCTGAGTCACCTGGAGCAGTGTCAAGAAGAGATTTGTTAGACAGAGCTACTGAAGGATTCCGAGCAGCAGGCTCTTTGCGGGAACCAGGCGACCGGGTAGAAGAAGCGGCAGCTGCTGTTACAACGGCAGAGACAGGTGCAGCAGCAGCTGCAGGGGAATCAGCAGCGGGGGAAAGAGCAGCAGGGGAAGCAGCAGAAAAGGAAGCAGCAGGGGCAGGAGGAACAGGAACAACAACAGTAGGAATTGCTGCTGAGCCTGATGCGTTACCTGGTAACAGCGATGGTACCAGTAGCAGTAGCAGCGGTGGTAGCAGCGGTGGCAGCGGCGGCGGTAGCAGCAGTGGTGGTAGTGGTGGCGGCATGAGGCGAAGGCACCATCTGTCTGACCCCAGTAAGGTGGCTGGCGGGGCGGGCAGGAAAGGCAATAGTCGTGCAGGGGAAGGCGCTGGGGCAACAGGGGATAGTGCTGGTGCAGCAGGGGGAGATTTAAGGGGGGGAAACAGTGGCGGTGTGCAGACAGGCGGCGGCAACCCCAAGGCTGCTCGGTTCACGAATGAGGATCTGCTAGATGCCATGGATATGCTGGTGAGTGACGTGGCTATGCTGGTGAGTGACGTGGATATGCTGGTGAGTGCCAAGTGTGTGTGTTTTAAATATCTTATTAGGGTTATTGTTGATGTATGCTGGTTAACAACATTTGAATTAAAAATAATTTCTGAAAGCAATTGAAGCACATCCTTCCCCATCCTATGATCCCCTCCCTCCGCTTCCTCCCCCTCCCTTCCCCCTTCCCTTACCCCACGCCCCTCCTTCACTTCACCCTTCCTCAGTTCGCCCGCAAGGCCAAGCGCAACGTGCCAGCAGCCCTGCAGCAGTTACAGCACATGGCTGCCCTCCTGCCGCCCCTCCTTCACCTCCCTTCATGACTCTCCCCAACCCCGTCCCCAACCCCCTCCTCAGTTTACTCGCAAGGCCAAGCGCAACATGCCAGGAGCCATTAAGCAGTTACAGCACATAGCAGTTCCTCCCCATTCCCGTTCTCCAGTTCGCCCGCAATGCCAAGCGCAACGTGCCAGCATCCATTAAGCAGCTGAAACACGTGGCCGCCCTCCTGCCCCTCTCCCTGAATCCCCTTCATGACTTCCTGCACCTACCACCGTCCCCACCAACTCCCCTCCCTCCTAAGTTCGCCCGCAAGGCCAAGCGCAACGTGCCAGCAGCCATTGAGCAGTTGAAGCCCATGGCCGCCCTCCTGCGCTCCTGCCCTTATCGCGCTTGCCTCCCTTCTTCTCCTCCATCCCCCCTATCCCCCCACCTCTCCACCCCCCTTGCAGTTCGTTCGCAAGGCCAAGCGCAACGTGCCAGCAGCTCTGCAGCAGTTGAAGCACATGGCCGCCCTCCTGCCGCCCCTCCCCCAATTCCTTTCATGACTTCCCCCACCTACCCCCCTCCCCACCCACTCCCCTCCCTCCTCCCCAGTTCGCTCGCAAGTCCAAGCGCAACGTGCCAGCAGCTCTGCAGCAGTTGAAGAACATGGCTGCCCTCCTGCCGCCCCTCCCCCCCGCGCCCTTCTTCCCCTTCCCCTCCAGCCCCGCCCCTCCTCTTCCCCCTTCCGCCTCCTCCTCCCCCTCCTCCCAACTCTCCACTTCGACCGCAGAAACTGGGTTGGGGCATCTGGAACAGGAGGGGGGAATGGGCGGGGGAGGGGGAGGGCAAGTAGGAGGGGCAGTGGCAGGGGAAGGGGGAGGGGCAGCGGCCGGGGGAGGAGCAGATGCAGGGCAGGAGGGGAGGGGTACGGCAGAGGGTGGGGCGGTGCAGGAGGGGAGGGTTGCGGCAGGGGATGAGGCAGTGCAGGAGAGCAGCCTTCTACGAGGGATTGCAGATGCAGACGCTGCCTGGCGATCTGATGCTCTGAGAGTGCTGAAGGAAGATGATGAGGCGGCAGTGCAGGCAGGGGGGGTTACAGCAGAGGCCGGGGCAGTGCAGGCAGGGACTCAGGCTACAGCAGAGGGCGGGGTGGTGCAGGAGAGCAGCCTTTCACAAGGGATCGCAGATGCAGACGCTGCCTGGCGGGCTGATGCTCTGAGAGCACTGAAGGAAGATGATGAGGGGGATGAGAGAGATGAGGGAGATGAGGGAGATGAGGAATATGAAGAGGAGGAAGAGAGTGAGGAGGAGATTGAGGAGGAGGAGGAAGGGGCAGAAAGGGGTGAAAGGGGGATGGGGCAGGAGGAGAGGGTGTCGTTGGGATCGAGACGGGGAGAAGAGAGCGAGGGGAAAGGGGGAGATGAGGGGGTGAGTGAGGAGGAGGTGGTGGTGGCGAGTGATGCGGCTTTCCTGCTGGCTGTGATGGCTGCTACAGGATTCGCAGGGGAGGAGGTCTACCCGAGGAATGAAACTCTGGTGAGTGTGAGGGTGTAAGTGGGTGGGTGGGTGTGGGTGCATTTCATGTCTCTTCTGTGAGGGTGTGGGTGCATTTCATGTCTGTTCTGTGAGGGTGTGGGTGCATTTCATGTCTTTTCTGTAAGGGTGTGGGTTTTCCGGAGACAGTGAACCCACAGACACACATCATGCCTTCCACTCAACTCATCCAACCTCTTCTGTCAATCCGTTCCTCTTATCCATCCACCTGCTCCTTTATCCCATCAGGCGCTGCACTTCCTGCGTCTGGCAGCAGAGACCGGCTCCAGGCAGGCAGGGAAGGAACCCTTCCACTCAAGTCAACCCTGTACCTTTTCCTCGTCCCATCCGCCCCCCCGCAACATTATCTGATCTCTTCAGGCGCTGCACTTCCTGCGTCTGGCAGCAGAGACAGGCTCCATGCAGGCCATGGCTGCACTCGCCAGCCGCTTCCTCTACGTGAGTCAGCCATACATTGTCCTCTTTATTAACTGATGTTTTACGGGGATCATGAAGCTCCCAGGCTCCATGCAGGCCATGGCTGCACTCGCCAGCCGCTTCCTATATGTGAGTGCTCACCGTGCTCTTTATGATGTCATTCATTAGTGGGATGAAGCCAGTGTCACACTGTTATTCTTGCAGTTCAGATTTAGAGCCACTGTAGCAACCCCCCAGCCACCGAGTGTGTTGCATTCGAACCCGGTATGGTGAGGTACTGCTCAGCTCAGACATCTTGACTCCATGCATGTTCGCTTCTTCAGTCGGCCCGGCATCTATTCCCTTCCTGTCCTCGAGTCTGTTTCTTGAGAATTCTAAGGGGGGAAAAAACAAACAAACAAACAAACAGATTCGCTTCTTCAATTGGCCCGACATTTCTTCCTGTCCTCGAGGCACCTCAAAGGTTTACTTAGTTGGCTTGGCTTCATGCGTGCTCGTTGCCAGGATAGGAGCAAGTTCTCTTCTTCACCCCTTAACTCATTCCCTTCCTCTGCTCCCTTAGTTGCTTGCAGGGTCGGGGGATACCTACTCTCTGAGAGGCAACCACTCTCTGTTGCAGGGCCGTAACGTTCCGGACTGTGAGGCATCACTAGCCTACTACCGCAGCACAGCAGCAGACCTGTCAGCAGCAGCAGAGGTCTTGGTTCTTTGAGGCCACTCTAAAACCCTCTTTTCTGCCCCTTCCCGCCACTCTCTCTTAACCTCTCTCTCATGCAGGGTCGTGGAGTTCCCACTGGCTGTGAGGCATCACAAGCCTACTACAACAGCCACAGCAGCAGACCTGTCAGCAGCAGCAGAGTCCATATAGCCTTCTTCACCTGCTCTCTTCACTAGCAGGGGTGTCTGTTCTTTGAGGCCACTTTGAAACCCTCTTTTCTGCCTCTTCCAACCACTCTCAACCACTCTCTGTTCCAGGGCCGTGGAGTTCCCACTGACTGTGAGGCATCACTAGCCTACTATCGCAGCACAGCAGCAGACCTGTCAGCAGCAGCAGAGGCATCAGGCGACCAGCAGCTGCCCAAGGACCCCGTGCGTCTGAGGGACTGGTTCCGCGACGGGGGGTTCCAGCCTCAGGCGTTCGACGATGACCATGCGGAGCAGGTGAGTAGAGGGAAGATGCCTTGTTCGCCTAGTGGTAGTGGAGCAGCAGGAGAGCGTCAGCAGCAACAGCAGCAGCAGAGGCTTCAGGCGATCAGCAGCTGCCCAGGGACCCTGTTCGCTTAAGGGACTGGTTCCGAGATGGGGGGTTCCAGCCCCAAGCATTCGACGATGACCATGCGGAGCAGGTGGGTAGGGATGATGCGTTGTTTGCCTAGTGCTACTGCAGCACAGCAGCACAGCTGTCAAGCAGCAGCAGCAGCAGCAGCAGCAGCAGCAGCAGCAGCAGCAGCAGCAGCAGCAGCAGCAGCAGCAGCAGCAGCAGCAGCAGCAGCAGCAGCAGCAGCAGCAGCAGCAGCAGCAGCAGCAGCAGCAGCAGCAGCAGCAGCAGCAGCAGCAGCAGCAGCAGCAGCAGCAGCAGCAGCAGCAGCAGCAGCAGCAGCAGCAGCAGCAGCAGCAGCAGCAGCAGCAGCAGCAGCAGCAGCAGCAGCAGCAGCAGCAGCAGCAGCAGCAGCAGCAGCAGCAGCAGCAGCAGCAGCAGCAGCAGCAGCAGCAGCAGCAGCAGCAGCAGCAGCAGCAGCAGCAGCAGCAGCAGCAGCAGCAGCAGCAGCAGCAGCAGCAGCAGCAGCAGAGGCGTGGGACGACCAGCAACTGCCCAAGGACCCTGTTCGTCTGAGAGACTGGTTTCGAGATGGGGGCTTCCAGCCTCAAGCGTTTGACGATGACCATGCAGAGCAGGTGGGTAGGTAGGGATGTTGCTCTGTTCACCTAGTGCTAATGCAACAGCAGCGGACCTGTTACCTGTTAGCAGCAGCAGAGGCGACAGGTGACCAGCAGCTGCCCAAGGGCCCCGTGTGTCCTGCCTCACTTCTTAGCTGAAGCTGGTGCTATCTCCTCCTACCAGCATTCCATTCCAGTGCTTTGTTCTCTTAGCTGCAAGTGCAGCAGCAGCAGAGGCAGAGGCATCTGAGATGGGGGTTCCACCCGCGGACGTTCGACGATGCCCATGCAGAGCAGGTGAGTGAAGTGAAGTGAAGGGTTCCTGCTGCTTTGCTCTTTTGAGACGTCTCAAGAGTGAAGTGAAGGGTTCCTGCTGCTTTGCTCTTCCCTTTGTTGGTGAGAGTAGCAGAGCGGTAACGGGTTTCGTATCGGTTCCCTCTCGTCTCCTTCCCTCCCATACTCAACGCTTACTCTCCCTTTCCCCCCTGTTCCATTACGTCAAATCAGGACGCACACACTTAAAGCACGTGTACATGCCATGCCCTAAACCAACTAAGCCCTGTTCTTGCGTTTCCCACACCACTTCCCGTCCCCTTTCTCCTCCCTCCCGCCGCACCCTGCCCTCTTCCCCGCCCTCTGCTTTACCCAGGGGGATCCGGGGCCACGAGGTGACAGTCCTTTTCTTCCTCGCCGTGTCGCCCTTGAGCCCTTCCCCTGGTTCCCTCATCGAGGGCTCTCCTTGTCGCCCTTAAGCCCTTCCCCTGGTTCCCTCATCGAGGGCTCTCCTTGTCGCCCTTGAGCCCTTCCCCTGGTTCCCTCATCGAGGGCTCTCCTTGTCCACCTTAAGCCCTTCCCCTGGTTCCCTCATCGAGGGCTCTCCTTGTCGCCCTGAAGCTCTCGTTCCCGTCCTTCCTTTGAGTCGACTCAAAAACGAGGGCTCTCGTTCCCGTCCTTCCTCCCAACCCCCGTCCCTCCTCCCTGCCCTCTGCCGTCCCTAGATGGAGTTTGAGCAGAGGGCCCAAAATTTTGCTCTTGTCTCCTCTCCTTGCTCCCCTCACCTGACCTGGTCTCTTCCCCACCCCACCCCTCTTTTCCCCGCCCTCTGCCTACCAAGGTGGAGTCTGAACGGGATGTGGCAAACAGCGGAAAGGGGGTGTGGGGGGCAGAAACTTCTCTCTCTTTGTCTCTCACCCTCCTCTCGCACCCCTCCTCTCTCACGCTACCCTGCCCTTTCCAGGTGGAGTTTGAGCAAGACCTGGCAGAGCGAGGGGTGCCGGAATCCCTTCGACTAATGGGATTTCGCCACCTCATCGGCCAAGGGATTCCCCGCAACCCCCAGGAAGCCCTTCGTCACTTCCAATTGGCCGCTGCTGCTGGTGATGACGTGGCAGCCTTCAACCTCGGCTACATGCACATGACCGGGGCAGGCGGGGCAGTCCCGAAGAACTTCACTGCTGCCCGAAAATATTTTCTGCAGGCGGCGTCGGGCAGGAACAAACTTGCAGCTGCCCAGAACGGGCTGGGAGTCCTGCATCAAAACGGATGGGGGGTAAAGCAAGACTTGATCCTCGCTCGTGATTTTTTCATGAAAGCAGCAGAGAGAAACGACTCGGACGCCCTTTCAAACTTAGGGTATATTCACTTCGACGGGCTGGGTGTACCTGCGAATGCAACCACAGCGGTGGGTTACTTTGAGAGGGCCATGGATGCAGGGCAGTGGAGTGCCCCCTATACCCTGGCTAGGATTCTTGACGGATCGTTGGTTTCTGCTTCTGCTGCTTACTCTGCTGCTGTTGCTGCTGCTGGTGGTGCTGCTGATTCTGGCGCTGCTACAGTTCCCCGGAACTGTTCCCGGGCGGCGAAGCTGTATGGCATTTTTGTCTCGGAGCGCATTGGGTGGGCGGCGGAGCTGAAGGAGGCTGCTGCAGCGTATGAGGATGGGGATTGGTGGAGCGGTTTGGTGCGGTACGGAATGGTGGCAGAGGAGGGGAGCAAAGTGGCAGCAGAGAATGCTGCCCAAATGCTAATGCGCAGTCAGGGTTACTCAGGTGAGTGGGTTGGGACTAAGTGGAGAAAGACGCACGCGTCCTGCTGCGTCCTGCGTCTGGACGCAGCGTCCAGACACAGAGACGCAGGACGCACCTCGTTTTTATTTTCGGGCTGACCGGAATTTTTTTTTTTGCCTCAGCGCGAAATTGACTTCAACGATTTCGACGCGACTGTCAATTTCGTGTCATGTCGACCCCCCCTAACCCATTTCGACCATCAAAAACACCCTAGAGGGTTTACCAAGACAATTCTCCTTCGTAAACCTTAAACCCTGGAAATGTAAAAGGGACAATTTTGCCTCAAATGTGTGCATCGTCGCTCCCCCCCCCCTTCCCATACCCTATAACATCATTTTTCGGCTGCCCGGGGGTTTTTTTGCCCTGCCCGGGCATGCGTCTTTTCATGCGTCCTAAAGGCCCTCCTCTAGCGTCCTGCGTCTAAGACGCTGCGTCTGGACGCAAGCGTCCTAGACGCAGGACGCGTCTTTCTCCACTTAGGGTTGGGAAGCGTGAAAGGGATACTTGAGCAAGAGGGAAGGAAGGGGTGGATGGGTGAGTGGGATATGGGCTTGGTCTTGGGGTGTTGGAACACACCGTCCCCTGGTTGGGTGGGACTGTGAGTTGGGTTGTGCTGTCCTGTGCTCCCCCTTGTTCCCCCCCTTACTCCTCTCCACCAGCCCCGTCTCGCCATTCTCTTGTTGTAGACCGTGCTATGATTGCCCCCATTTTTCTCATGTGGTGTCATTTCTGCTGAGCTAGACTCAACACCGGTGGGAGCTAGACTCTGGAGAAGGCACGGGTGGAACGAGTGATTGTAACGTTCTCTTCGTACTTGCTCATGTGTGGGTTCGCGGGGCAAAACGGCAAGAGTCTCATTAAGAAAGGTTGAGAAAAAATATACAAAATATATTGGCAATGGTGACTACATCTGGGACCTAGCAAGCCTAACAAGCAGGCAGGTTGACCCCCAGCACAACACAAGGGTGGCTTGCCAGCGTGGCAAGTCGACGGCGTGCCAACGCAGCTCGAAGGCGGGTTGCCAACACTGCAAGTCGGCGACATGCCAGCGCTGCACTAGGGCGGCTTGCCAACGCTGCAGCAAGGCGGCTGGCCAGCATTGCAACCGCAATTGTGCTTCTGCGCGCATGTGTGCACCTACTTTGCAGGTGCAGGTAAACAGTTGAGCAAGTTGTGCACCGCTATGCACATCGCGCAGGTACTTAATCGGCCACGTGTCGACAGTTGCGCCAGATGCACCACATCGACCACGTGCTGCCACGTAGGTCGACGTCGTCAAGACTACCTGGACGACGTTCGCGCACCCCCGCAGAGCTTCGTCGACAAGTTACACAGTCGACTAGAGGAGGCCGCCGACGTCCTCAAGTCGTCTCCCCCAAGTTGGTGTCATGTCAAGGAACACCTTCGTCGGCCGCCGATTTCACCTCGTCGACTAACGTCACGGCCTGCTTCGCCGAATTCGGCTCCGCTGTAGCCGACTTCCCCGAAGTCAGCTAATGCTGCAAGTCGGCTAACCACGGCGACTTGATCGTCCAAGTCAGCATGGACCAGGAAGTCGGCTTCGCCGTGGTCGGCTTCACCGAAGACGGCTGCACGGAGGGTGGAGCCGGATCTCCGATCCACACTTTCCTCCTTCCCCCCTCCCCTCCCTCCCTTCCCTTCTTCCACCCACCAGCCTCCGACCGCTATGCTCTAGCGCTGGACCACAGGATGAGGGTGGTACACATCAGGTCATCCCCAGCCATGGTGGACGCGGCTCTGATCACACTCCTGTTCATGCGTCATCCCTTGTGTTGCCCTTCTCCCCTCTGCAATCCCCCCCTTCCACCAGCCTCGGATCGCTATTCGTTGGCGCTAGACCACGCAATGAGGGCGGTGCACATCGGGTCAGCACCGGCCATGGTGGATGCGGCTCTCCTCATGCTCATCCATCACCTGCCCTCGCTGCTGCCGCTCCCACCGCCACCGTCACTTTCCACCGTTGATCCACACCTTTCCGCACAGTCAATCCCAGCCCTTGATCCGCACCATCCTGCACAGTCACTCCCAGCCGTTGATCAAAACTCCACGACAGCACAGCCGGTTACCAGTGCCCGAGATTCTCTCCCCTGCGACCCCCTGTCTCTGCTGCAGCGGGCAGCAGACCTGCACGAGCCAGAGGCGCTTTTCCACCTCGCCTACCTCCATATAGTGGGCCTCGATAACAGCACAGGTGGGTACAGTGCAGGCGCTCTCCTGTGGGGCAGCAGCAGTGCCACCAACACCAGTGGCAATACCAGCAGCAGCAGCAGCAGCGGCAGCAGCAACGCCAATATTACTATCATAGTCCCCGTAAATTTGACCCGAGCACACGAGCTGCTCTCCTCAGCGCTGCTCTACTGCCACAACGACGAGGCTCTCCCCGTCTCCCTCGCCCTCCACTCCCTCTCCCTCCTCCGCCTCCTCCCCTCCTCCCTGCGCTCCCTCCTCCTCCCCCTCCTCCCTCGCTACGCCATCTCTTCCTCCACATCAGCACCTGGTGCGATGTCGTTCGTTAGTGCAATCGTGTCAGCGCTGAGTCGCGCTGCGTCAACGGTGATGCAGTCCATCTCAGCGGCCTCGCAGTGGTGGCTGGATTTCGAGGACTATGTGTTTGGGGAGCTGGAAAACTTGCTTTTCCCTGAGGATGGCAACAGCTATGGTAGCGGCATCAGCGAGACTGGTGGCAGCAGCAGGAGCAGCAGTAGGAGTGCCGGCAGCGGTGGCGGCAGCAGCAGCAGCAGCAAGGGCAGCAGGGTGTGGCAGGAGTTAGGGGAGTGGGACACAGTAGTGGTGATGGTGCTGCTCGGTATGCTCTCTGTGCTCTGGTGGTTACGAAACACCACTGCTGCTGCTCATGCCGCCATTGCTGATGCTGATGCTGCCATTGCTGATGCTCATGCTGCCGTTGCTGATGCTGAAGCGGATGCTGGTGCTGGTACTGCTGCTGCAGTCGCGGACACAGAAGATGCTGCTCATGCTGTTGGTGGTGATGCTGATGCTGTCGGTGCTAACGCTGGTGCTGTCGCCACCAGTGCCAGTGCTGCTGCTGCCAATGCTGCTGCTGATGGTGGAGTGGAATCTCTGAATGCTCTAGGCAGTGGGGCCGAGATACAGGAGAGGCATGAGGAAGGCAGGGGTAATGGGGAAGGCGGGAGGGATGGGCATGGAGATGGGGATGGGAACGGGCACAGGGATGGGGAGGCTCCGTCCGCAAGTGGCGGTGAGACAAGTGGTGGGGCGGGTGTTGGGTTGCGGCAACGACAAGTGCAGCAGAGGGAGGGGGGGGATATTCCCAACTAGTGACTCAAAGTACATTACTTTTAAAAAATGTGATGCCAGAGAGCATTGTGTAGAAGTTGGAGAGGGATGGATGCCACAATTAGGCTTGAAGTTGCTCAGTCACAAAACATAACTTAGAAATGTTAAGAGAAAACGCCAGTAACACTCTAAAATGTTTGTGTTTGATGACCTTTTTCGACTCGAGTATTTTCCGGTACTTGCGATGCGAGTATCGCGTCCGTTTTGAGGGAAACCATTCTACCAAAGTAGAATCCGTTTTCTGCTGGTCAACCACATACCAGTACTTCTCCGATCATTAGTTTACCGCGGCAACCATAGCGTACCTTTGTGATCGGCGAAACCCGACATTTGGATTTGATTGGCGGAGAATAGAAGAAGATAAAGCCACTACGACTGTGGCCCCCCTTGATTCGCACGTCGTCCGTCGCAGGGATGGTCGCAGTCGCAGTCGCAGCGAGCGATATCGCATGGCTGCTCCTGGTCGGCGCGGTCTGGGGGATTACGAATCCGCTCATCAAGCGCGGCGCCGCGATGTCGAAGCGGCACATCAAAGCGGACGAATCCGCCGCAGCTGCCGGCAAAACTGCCGGAATGGAAGCTTCCATGTCGTTTTCTCAGAGATTGGACTTCAGATGCAGGAGATTCGTCCACGTGGTTACCCGTGATTGGCAGGTTGGTCGACGGGAGGGAGTAGGTAGGAGGCAAGGGATCAGAGATATGTTAGCGGCATTACTTAGAAGCTCCAGCCATACGCGTTAAAAACTAATTGTGGGCTCGTGTTTCAATGGAGAGTCAGAAACGTGAGGCCAACAGAGTACTTTGAGTGGGCTGCTTGACAGTCATGCCTCCCGTCAGCGACGGGAATGTAGACGTTTCCGGCGTCCCCGTCCCTTTTTGAGACGTCTCAAAAGTCGTGAGGCCAACAGAGTACTTTGAGTGGGCTGCTTGACGGTCATGCCTGGCGGGAATGTAGACGTTTCCTGCGTCCCCGTCCCCCATCCTCCCTCCCTTGCCACCGTCCCTGCGAAGTGTAGCCATTTGACGATGGGCGCACTCACCTCCCTCCTCGTTATCGTCCCCGTCCCTTTCCTTCCGCCATGTCCTCTTCCACTATAGTGGAACGGGACACTATCTCCCTCCCATCTCCCGTTCCCGTGGATCGTTTCCAGTGTCGCCGTCAAGCCTCCTCCCTCCCTTGCCTGGCAGAGTCCAGGCACTTGATGGGTTCAGCTCCCTCCTCCCCCTTCCTCCCCCTTCCTCCCCCTTCCTCCCCCTTCCTCCCCCTTCCTCCCCCTTCCTCCCCCTTCCTCCCCCTTCCTCCCCCTTCCTCCCCCTTCCTCCCCCTTCCTCCCCCTTCCTCCCCCTTCCTCCCCCTCCTCCCCCTCCTCCCCCTTCCTCCCTCCTCCTCCCCCCTCCTCCCCCCTCATCCCCCCTCCTCATCCCCCCTCCTCCCCCCTCCTCCCCCCTCCGCCCCCCACCTCCGTCAGTACAACACACGCATCTGTGCTTCCAGCCTCTCCGGCTCACTCTCTTCTTTCACGTGGGTGCCCTGAGAGCCACCCACGTCTATCCCAGCCCAGTCAGCAACAACCACTGCCTTCCCTCTCTGCACTCCCTATCCCCACAGTGCTACACAGCTCTGTCCCTCAACCTGTCAGGTTCACTCCCTTGCTTCCTCACCCTAAGGTGCGTGCACGTCTCTCCCAATCAGCAAGGACCAGTGCCTTTCCCCTTCCCCTCCCCACTCCGTTCCCTCTTCCCCCACCCCCACAGTACTACGTGCCGCTGTGCCTCAACCTCTCGGGCTCATCCCTGTCTTTCCACCCTGAGGGGCGTGCGTGTCTCTGTGGCAGTGCCGGTCAGCAACCTCTGCAGCCTCCCACCCTCAGTTCCTCTCTTCAATATACCCACTTCTGCACACCCCCCACCCACCCACCCCTCTCCCTTCTTCCTCATTCCCAGTACTACGTGCCTCTGTGCCTCAACCTCTCGGGTTCAGTCCTATTCTTCCTCACCCTAAGGGGCGTGCACGTCTCTGTGGCAGTGCCAGTTAGCAACGGTGCCACCTTTGCCTTCAACGCAGCAGCAGGCTATGCGTTCGGGGAGAAAATACAGCCAGCGTTGGCATTAGGGGGTGTATCGTTGGCTGTACTTGGAATTGCGTTGTGTGTATAGCGAGTGGCTATGTGCACATGTGTTTGCACGATGCTGGGGTTCTTGCATCGAGGTTTGGAAATAACCAAATTGTGGGAAGGGGCCGCGGTTACCAGCCTGCTTTGATGCGGGGCACGAATCTAACGAGCAGATAGTGCAATGTGGTAACGGGAAGTGCAGCTGCGACATAAGTTAGTATTGCTGTACACGGGTATGAAGGATGATGTTGGGAAAGCAAAAGGGTGAATATTTACAAGAGTAAGGAGGAAATGAAACCGTTAGGGGGTGTCTAGCCTGGTTGGATCTCAGGTCTTTTAAAAACGGTTTAAAAAGTTGTTGCAAGATTTAGAGAGGTTTGTTACCATCACCGCATTGAATCTCTACTTACCTGTGTGCACACAACCTACTACCGATCCAGTTTTCCATTTCACAGAAACTCTTTGTTTCGTTACACGACTGCGGTTCGGTTCTGACACAGTATTTCCCGCCAGAAAGCAGACACAAAGGGCCCCAAAAATGACCATTATTCGCTAGTTTGATTCGCGAAGAATGACTGGGATTTGTCGGTTGGTCGGGAACCCCCTCGCCAGCGCTCCCCTCATAAAAGCGTGTTCAGAGTGCTGCAAATTTCCGACGTAAATCGATGTCGAGGTTGTTGGGTTGGCAGGTAAGCTGAGGGGTACCATTTTTGTGTTCAAAGTACTCTTCAGAAATTGCTTACGCCAGCATCAACAATTGTACGGAATTCAGCGCATCTGTACAGTGATGACGAGACCACATCAGACAGAACAACAACAAAACAAGAATTGAATTCTCGAAGTTAACGAGCCTGTACGATTCGTATTGTGGGCTTCGCAGCCATTGGTGGCACTGTCTACGCATGCGAAACGGCCTTGCGATTTCCAAAATTCGTTTGAACTCAGTTGTTCTACTATTTAGGCCGGCTTTTGTCCTGAGCGGAAGCTCGTCGCTGGCATTGCGTTCAAAGTGCCGCGTTCGACGTCGATCGACGTCGAGCTCGACGTCTGCCGACGTAGAGCCCCCGACGTCAAAGGATATAAAAAATTAATTTGAACACGCTTTAAGCTTGCTTCAGAGTCTCCAGCTTGCCACCATTTAGGTGGCTCACTTATGGTGGGAGTGCAGAGCTACCTCATTCTTTCTTTGTTTCGCGATTAATCGCATACCGTGACGCTTTGCGAATATTGTTTGCAGTAGTGGTAGGTACGCAACAGCTCATCCACTCATATTCATGCGGGTTCGGCTCTCGGCCGTGCAACATTCGATTTTTATGTTCTGATAGTATTCGTAACGCAGCTACCATACTTAGGATCCCCTGACAACAGGAAACTCTCGTTAACTTATTCATCCACCCTGTATCGCAACCAAAGCCACGCCGACGGCGCAATGCAGAGCGCGAAGCACAGAGTGACTCACCGCAGCGACGCCGCGGAAGGCCAGGGCGACGAGGCCGTTCTCTTGCCCGCGCTCGCACCCTTTAATACCGGCAGCAAGCTCACCGATTCCCCAGCCCCCAGCAGCCCGCAACTCAAGGCCGCGCGCTCCGCTAATCGCCCGAAAATCGCCGCTTGCCTCTCCCTCGCCTGGGCCATTCTCGCCACCATAGTCGCTGCGGTCTCGATCTCGTTACACGTGGCGGAGCCTCCGCCGTGGATCTTGGTTGCCTTGCAGTTGACGCCGTCGGATCCCGGATCGACGGCTGACGTGCGGAATTGTAGCGACTGGATCTCGAAGCCAGCGGCAACGGTCGGTGCTGAAGACCCGTGGGAAGCAACCAAGGTGGGACGGCTAGATAAGCACCCGCGCTTTCGATGGCACCAGCACCTACGAACAATTCGCTTACCTAGTAGTTCTTCTCGCCTCGAATCAATCTGGCGTGCCGCCACTGCGCCGCGCGTTTCCCCCTGCATTTCCCCTCCTCTCACCCCCTCCCCCCCGCAGTGGATACCGCGCGTGTCGCCGTGTCCAGTAGCGGGGCTGCCTATAGAGGAGCTGGACGAGCACCTCAACTTCCGCCACGAATTTCCCCCTGCATTCTCCCTTCCCCCCTCCCCCCTCCCCCCTCCCCCCTCCGCAGTGGATACCGCGCATGTCGCCATGTCCAGTAGCGGGGCTGCCTATAGAGGAGCTGGACGAGCACCTCAACTTCCGCCGCGGGTACTCGCTGGGCTTCGTGGACGACGCGGAGGACAAGACACACATCCTGCCCGTGCTGCGAGCTGTGCTGGACCCTGCCATGCACGCCAGGTGAGTGCGTGAGTGCGTGAGTGAGTGAGTGCGTGAGTGAGTGAGTGAGTGAGTGCGTGAGTGAGTGAGTGAGTGAGTGAGTGAGTGAGTGAGTGAGTGCTGCCTGCTTGGTTCCACTGACGCCAGGTGTCGTCCTTCTCACGACAGCGCTCTCCCCCATGCTTGCTATCCCAGGAAGAGGCGCAGGGGCGCGGTTCTTCAACACGAGCGTCACGTGGTTCCTGCAGTCGTACCCGCTCGACTTCACGGAGGTCCCCCTTGCCCGCTGCTCCCCATGCCCGCTGCTCCCCATGCCTGCTATCCCACCCTTGCCCGCTGCTCCCCATGCCCGCTGCTCCTCATGCCCTGCTATCCCACCCTTGCCTGCTGTGCTGTCCCTCACACATGCTATCCCAGGAAGCGACGCGTCCTGATAGACCTGGGGGGGCGGTTCTTCAACTCGAGCGTCACGTGGTTCCTGCAGTCGTACCCGCTCGACTTCACAGAAATTCATGCCGTGGAGGTGCGACAGGGCGTCTTTCAAGTGCCCGCGCCCAGCCATAAGGTGAGGGGGGAGGGGGTAAGGGGTGACGGGGAGTGCAGGGGTGTGCGTGCCGGTTTCTGCAAGGGTGTGTGTGTGCGGGTGTGAGGGCAAGGGAGAGGGGCAAGGGAGAGGGTGCAATCGTACCCGCTGATATGGGATTCCACAACGCCGAACTCTAAAATGTCAAACCCGAAACCCTAGTATGAGATTCCAAGGCGCTATAATGAAACCTGGAAACCCTGAACATGAAACTCGACATCCGGAATTTGGAAGCCTAATCTGAAATCTGAACCGTGAATCTGAAATCTTGAACTCTGAACTCTGAAATCTGAAATCTTGAAATCTGAACTCTGAAATCTGAAATCTTGAAATCTAAGTCTGGAACCCAGAACCTGAAAGCATGTTGCATCGATGCCTGTTGCAAGTGCATGCTGCAGGCTTGGTGAGCGGGGCGAGGGGGTGAAACATGTTGAGAGGTGTGCTGCTGTGTTGGCAGGGCAGGGCATCGCTTCACACATGCCCCTCACAGCCTGCGTCTCTTTGCTTCCATCAACCTCGTTGCTGCTTCCTCTTTCCACGCTCCTCTTTCCACGCTCTTCTTTCCACGCTCCTCTTTCCACGCTCCTCTTTCCACGCTCCTCTTTCCACGCTCCTCTTTCCACCTTCCTCCCCTCCCCTTTCCCCTCTCTCTCTGTCCACCCTTCCGCCCTTCCGCCCTCATCAGACGCTACGTGCGAACATGAGCTATCGCAGTCGCCTGCGCGCGCTCCACACAGGCCCGGCGGACTTCCCTCCGTGGCTGCTCGCCAGGGTGCACTCCCATCGCTTCATGGCCTCCTTCCTCCCCTTCCCCTTCCCCTTCCCCTTCCCCTTCCCCTTCCTCTCTTCCCCTTTCCTCTCTTCCCCCTTCCTCTCTTCCCCCTTCCTCTCTTCCACCTTCCTCTCTTCCCCCACCATCAGACCATACGCGCCAACATGAGTTATCGCAGTCGCCTGCGCCCGCTCCACACAGGCCCGGCGGACTTCCCTCCCTGGCTGCTCGCCCGAGTGCACTCCCACCGCTTCATGGCCTCGGCTATTGACAACGCTGGGAAGGTGAGGGGAGCGCGTGGAGGGTAGGCGTGTGATTGAGGCTGGGATTGGAGTCGATCCAAACTACATCTGCTCGCCCGGGTGCACGCCCACTGCTTCATGGCCTCTGCCAGCGACAATGCTGGGCAGGTGAGGGGGAGCGTGTGGAGGGTAGGGGTGTGATGGAGGCTGGCATAGGGAGTCGATCTAATGCACACCTGCTCGCCTGGGTGCACGCCCACCGCTTCATGGCCTCTGCCAGCGACAATGCTGGGCAGGTGAGGGGGGGTTGCGTGGGAAGGGCTGGCGTGGGGGGTTGCGTGGGAAGGGCTGGCGTGGGGGGTTGCGTGGGAAGGGCTGGTGTGGGGGGTAAGACACTGGGTCCTGGCTGAGGCGTGGTTGATTCCTCAAGTCATGGCAGCACGCGATTCCTCAAGTCATGGCAGCACGTGATTCCTCAAGTCATGGCAGCACGTGATTCCTCAAGTCATGGCAGCACGTGTTTCCTCAAGTCATGGTAGCATGTGTCTCCTCAAGTCATGGCAGCACGTGATTCCTCAAGTCATGGCAGCACGTGATTCCTCAAGTCATGGCAGCATGTGTTTCCTCAAGTCATGGCAGCACGTGATTCCTCAAGTCCTGGCAGCACGTGATTCCTCAAGTCATGGCAGCACGTGATTCCTCAAGTCATGGCAGCACGTGATTCCTCAAGTCATGGCAGCACGTGATTCCTCAAGTCATGGCAGCACGTGTTTCCTCAAGTCATGGTAGCATGTGTCTCCTCAAGTCATGGCAGCACGTGATTCCTCAAGTCATGGCAGCACGTGATTCCTCAAGTCATGGCAGCATGTGTTTCCTCAAGTCATGGCAGCACGTGATTCCTCAAGTCCTGGCAGCACGTGATTCCTCAAGTCATGGCAGCACGTGATTCCTCAAGTCATGGCAGCACGTGATTCCTCAAGTCATGGCAGCACGTGTTTCCTCAAGTCATGGTAGCATGTGTCTCCTCAAGTCATGGCAGCACGTGATTCCTCAAGTCATGGCAGCACGTGATTCCTCAAGTCATGGCAGCACGTGTTTCCTCAAGTCATGGTAGCATGTGTCTCCTCAAGTCATGGCAGCACGTGATTCCTCAAGTCATGGCAGCACGTGATTCCTCAAGTCATGGCAGCACGTGATTCCTCAAGTCATGGCAGCACGTGATTCCTCAAGTCATGGCAGCACGTGATTCCTCAAGTCATGGCAGCATGTGTTTCCTCAAGTCATGGCAGCACGTGATTCCTCAAGTCATGGCAGCACGCGATTCCTCAAGTCATGGCAGCACGTGATTCCTCAAGTCATGGCAGCACGTGATTCCTCAAGTCATGGCAGCACGTGATTCCTCAAGTCATGGCAGCATGTGTTTCCTCAAGTCATGGCAGCACGTGATTCCTCAAGTCATGGCAGCACGTGATTCCTCAAGTCATGGCAGCATGTGTTTCCTCAAGTCATGGCAGCACGTGATTCCTCAAGTCATGGCAGCATGTGTTTCCTCAAGTCATGGCAGCACGTGTTTCCTCAAGTCCTGGCAGCACGTGATTCCTCAAGTCATGGCAGCACGTGTTTCCTCAAGTCATGGTAGCACGTGGCTGTTGTCATGGCAGCACGTAACTGTTGTCATGCGGTGCCTGCTGGTGCAGTTCGGTTGGAGCACCTAACCCGCTCATCTTGTCACCCTCCTGCTCCCTTCCCTTTCCCTCTTTCTCTCCGACCCCCGTCAACCTGTCAACTCCTCATCACGGAACGTGGTGAACATGACGTGGTTGCTTCTGATTCAATAGAAGGCACCAAAAATATTATTCTTCCTGTCTTCCTCCTCTCCTGCTGCTCCCCTCTCAGCTGGAGGAGCCTTCTGAGACGACTCAAAGTCTCTCCACCTGCTCCGCTTCCTCCCTGCTCGCCTCTCCCCTTTGAAACCCCGTCGACTCGTAAACCTGTCAACTCCTCATCGCAGAACATAGTGAACGTGATGCGGTGGCTGCTGGAGGAGCGTTCTGAGTTGACTCACGATCCCCATCCGCTCTCCCCTTGCTCCTCTCTTCCCATCAACCCCCCACCGCAGAACATAGTGAACGTGACGCGATGGCTGCTGGAGGAGCTGCAGGTGACGCCAGAGGATACGGTGGTGGTGAAGATGGATATAGAGGGGTCCGAGTGGGCCATCTTCCAAGGTGAGGGAGGGAAGCAGCTGAAGCATGTGAGAAATGTATGTGAGAATTGTATGTGAGGCACAGGGCAGAAGCGCACACCAGAGCTGCAGCTGACGCCACAGGGCAGAGGGCAGAGGACACGGTGGTGGTGAAGATGGACATTGAAGGGTCCGAGTGGCCCATCTTTCATGGTGGGTGGGTGTGGCGCAGGGAGGAGGAGTAGGTGCGTGGCGCGTGTGAGGCACAGGGCAGAGGCGCACACCAGAGGTGCAGCTGACGCCAGAGGACACGGTGGTGGTGGAGATGGATATAGAGGGGTCCGAGTGGGACATCTTCCAAGGTGGGAGGGTGGGGCGAGCAGTGTGGGATGGGGCGAGCAGTGTGGGATGGGGCGAGCAGTGTGGGCTGGGGCGAGCAGTGTGGGATGGGGCGAGCAGTGTGGGATGGGGCGAGCAGTGTGGGATGGGGCGAGCAGTGTGGGATGGGGCGAGCAGTGTGGGATGAGGCGAGCAGTGTGGGATGGGGCGAGCAGTGTGGGATGGGGCGAGCAGTGTGGGATGGGGCGAGCAGTGTGGGATGGGGCGAGCAGTGTGGGATGGGGCAGCCTGGGTGGAGTGTGGGATGGGGCAGCCTGGCTGGAGTGTGGGATGGGGCAGCCTGGCTGGAGTGTGGGATGGGGCAGCCTGGCTGGAGTGTGGGATGGGGCAGCCTGGGTGGAGTGTGGGGTGGGGCAGCCTGGGTGGAGTGTGGGGTGGGGCAGCCTGGGTGGAGTGTGGGGTGGGGCAGCCTGGCTGGAGTGTGGGATGGGGCAGCCTGGCTGGAGTGTGGGATGGGGCAGCCTGGCTGGAGTGTGGGATGGGGCAGCCTGGGTGGAGTGTGGGATGGGGCAGCCTGGGTGGAGTGTTTGTCGAGGTGCATTACAACCACCCCTCCGTGCACTTAATCTCTCTCATTTCCCTCTTCATTGCCCTTCTTTCTCATGTTCGTTGCTATGTGCAGCCTGGTTAGAGTCCCCTCTCATGGCACAAGTGATAGACGAGCTATTGGTGGAGGTGCATTACAACCACCCCTCCATGGCTCACTGCTTCCTCATTCCCCTCGCCATTCCCTTGCCTGCATCCCCCTCTCCTTGTACTGACTGCAGCCTGGCTTGCTGGAGTCTCCTTTCATGCCACGGGTGATAGACAAGCTGTTCGTGAAGGCGCACGGCAACCACCCCTTTACAGCCAACCACCCTCTGTCGCCCTCTCTGTTCCTCTGCCACCCCCCCGTCTCTTTTTGCTATGTGCAGCGTGGCTGGATTCCCCCCTCATGGCACGCACGAGTAATCGATGAGGCACTCATGAAGGTGCATTACAACAACCACCCCTCCATGCACTTCTTCATCGTCATTTCCCTCTCCCTTCCCTTGCTGTGGGGTGCAGCGTGTCTGGAGTCCCCCCTCATGGCACGCACGAGTAATCAATGAGCTGTTTGTCGAGGTGCATTACAATCACCACCCCTCCATGCCCAATCATCCTCCCCTCCCCGTTTCCCCTCCTCACCCACTGTTGTACTCTCTCCTTGTGTTGCGTACAGCCTGGTTGGACTCACCTCTCATGCCACGGGTGATAGACGAGCTATTCGTGGAGGTGCATTACAACCACCCCTCCATGCACTTCTTCTCCCTCATTTCCCTCTCCATTTCCTTGCCCTCACCACCCCTGTCTCTGTGTGTGTGGGGTGCAGCCTGGTTGGACTCACCTCTCATGCCACGGGTGATAGACGAGATATTCGTGGAGGTGCATTACAACCACCCCTCCATGCACTTCTTCACGTGGACGCCGCGCAACTTCCCGCACTCGAGGCAGCAAGCAGGCCAGCTGCTCAACGCCATGCGCAGTGCAGGGTACTATGTGCATGCCTGGCCTTGATGGGGTAATCTGATAACATGCGAGTCCCTGGTGGTATTTACATACTAGCAGAAGCAATGGAGCCCTAGCAGTAGGGCCGTGGCAGTGAAGCCGTGGCAGTGCAACCTTTGCAGCACGCAGCAGCGTTTACCACGTGAGATGCGTGGATGGGTGGAGAGGGCCCACCCCACGTGCTGTACGTTTTGAGACGTCTCAAGAGAGATGCGTGGATGGGTGGAGAAACCCTCCATGCGTACAACCACCCCTCCATGCACTTCTTCTCCTGGAATCCGAGCCTCTTTGCACACTCGAGGCGGGAAGCGGGGCAACTGCTCAATGCCATGCGCAGTGCTGGATACTACGTGCATGCCTGGCCTTGATGCTGCATGCCTGGCCCTACTAGTGTGTTTATACGACATTCCTGGTCTTGGTGTTCTAGTTACCCTTCACGCGCAGCACTTATGGCCTCCGATGGTGTATTTAGTGTGCATTTTCTGATGTAGTGGTCCGTTTTGGCATTAATAGGTTGGGCTCGCTTATTTATTATAATGCATGCCTGGATGAGCTGCAGTGTGAAAACCACAAGCGTTTAGCTAGCTACCATGTCAGGGCGAAAACACCAGTGCTCCAGCAGCAGCAGAAGAAGGAAGACACAAACAAATAACTGCAAAAAACCGTGGGTAGCATACAGCCCCCTCCGCGATCTACACAAACAAATACCTATTTCCATTTACCCTGCCAAAAACCGTGGGTGGGTAGCATACAGCCCCCTCCGCGATCTACACAAACAAATACCTATTTCCATTTACCCTGCCAAAAACCGTGGGTAGCATACAGCCCCCTCCGCGATCTACACTACAGCAAGTTCCAGATATCTACAGCCCCCACTCTTTGGCACCGAAACGATTAGGTTAAAACTGTTGTTCTGTTACAATGCTTATGCTTCTACGGCTCTATTGCTGCTGCTGCTGCCATTTCCTTCAGGCAGCAGAAACGAATTGTAAGCTGCTGCTGTTGTTGTTGCTGCTGCTATTGCTCCTGCTGCTGCCATTTCCACCAGCCAGCAGACACCAGGTTGGCGAGGGAGTGAGCGAGCATGGCACTGGCCATGTCACCCGTCGCCACTGCCAGCACACCATACACACACCCCACACTCGTTGCCCTGTGGTAGGAGGGCAAAGGGGGGTGGGGGGTGAATGATACCGCTGCCAGCCAGCACGCCGTACGCACACCCCACAGATGATGCCCTGGGATGCGGTGGGAGGACGCGGAAGAGGGACGGGACGGAGGGAGAGAGGGAAGGCACGAGGGAGTGAGCGAGCATGGCACTGGCCATGTCACCCGTGGCCACTGCCAGCACGCCATACACACACCCTACGGATGATGCCCTGTGGAGGGGGGGAGGGAGGGATGGGAGGGAGAGGAGCGAGGGAGTGAGCGAGCATGGCACTGGCCATGTCACCCGTCGCCACTGCCAGCACGCCATACACACACCCCACACTCGTTGCCCTTGGGGGTGGAGGGGGGAAAGATGGGAGAGGGAGGGAGGGAGGGAGGGAGGGAGGGAGGGAGGGAGGGAGGGAGGGAGGGAGGGAGGGAGGGAGGGAGGGAGGGAGGGAGGGAGGGAGGGAGGGAGGGAGGGAGGGAGGTAGGGAGGGAGGGAGGGAGGGAGGGAGGGAGGGAGGGAGGGAGTGAGGGAGGGAGGGAGGGAGTGAGTGAGTGAGGGAGGGAGGGTGGGAGGGAGGGAGGGAGGGAGGGAGGGAGGGAGGGAGGGAGGGCGGGAGGCAGAGAAGGGGGTGGGTGCATGATGCGTGAAAGCGGTATTTCAAAGTAGAAACCCTCTCTCTACGGATGATGCCCTGGGGAGGGGGGGGATGGAGGGAGGGAGAGAGGGAGGGAAGCAGGGAGGGAAATCCCAAAAACTGCTTGAGAAAAAGAGCGGCGAACCAGGCAGAGCGGTTTTTGGAAATGGTAAAAACAGCATGCAACAAGGAGCGGCGTGCGTACCAGGCAGAAAAGGTGAGGTTGCGGTCGCCCGTGACGTGCAGCAGTCCAAAGACAGCCCCCGATACTATCACCCCCACTGCATTCACCCCCACCAGCGGCAGCAGTGCCCCTCGGAAGAGCAGCTCCTGTGCAAGGCGGGGGGAGGGGCGGGGGGAGGGCAGGGAGGATGAGGAGGGAAGGGGGAGTGAGGAGGGAAAGGGGAGATGAGGCGGGAACGGGGAGTGAGGAGAGCAGGGGGAGATGAGGCGAAAAGGGGAATAAGGTAAGAGCGGGGCGAGATATCAGCAGTGAGGCGTCTCCAAACATGCCCGCTGCCTTCGCTACCACCAGAAGCAATGGAGCCCTAGCAGTGGGGCCGTGGCAATGGAGCCCTGGCAGTGAAGCCGTGGCAATGGAGCCCTAGCAGTGAAGCCCTGGCAGTGGAGCCCTAGCAATGGAGCCCTGGCAGTGAAGCCCTGGCAGTGGAGCCCTAGCAATGGAGCCCTGGCAGTGAAGCCCTAGCAGAGGAGCCCTAGCAGTGGGGCCGTGGCAGTGGGCCGTGGCAGTGAAGCCGTGGCAGTGAAGCCGTGGCAGTGAAGCCGTGGCAGTGAAGCCGAGGCAGTGAAGCCGTGGCAGTGGGGCCGTGGCAGTGAAGCCGTGGCAGTGGCGCCGTGGCAGTGAAGCCGTGGCAGTGAAGCCGTGGCAGTGAAGCCGTGGCAGTGAAGCCCTGGCAATGGAGGCCTGGCAGTGGGGCCGTGGCAGTGAAGCCGAGGCAGTGGGGCCGTGGCAGTGAAGCCGAGGCAGTGGGGCTGTGGCAGTGAAGCCGAGGCAGTGGGGCCGTGGCAGTGCAACCTTTGCAGCACACAGCAGCGCTTACCACGTGAGATGCGTGGAAGTGCAACCTTTGGAGAGGCCCACCCCACGTGCTGTACGTTGGAGGCGCGGGAGGCGGGGAGGAAGGCCGGGGCGAGGCTCAGCAGCCTTTGGATCAGCCTTTGGACCACAATAACCTAAAATACATGCCTCACACAGCCTGTTCACACTGCCTCTGCCTTTGCAGCACGCACCTCGGAGATGCCTGGAAGGAGAGACACCCAGATGAGGTCCGTGGCGTTCAGGCTAGACAGCGCCCGTGCGTTGGATGCATTGGTGGCATCGAGGAAGGCTGGGGAGAGACGCAGCAGAGTATGGAACGGAGTGCACACCAGCCTTTGAAATAAGCAGCACGCACCTCGGAGATGCCTGGGAGGAGCGACACCCAGATGAGGTCCGTGGCTTGCAGGTTTGAAAGGGCCCGTGTGTTGGAGGCATTGGTGGCATCGAGGAAGGCTGGGGAGAGGCGCAGCAGAGTATGGAACAGAGTGCACACCAGCCTTTGAAATAAGCAGCACGCACCTCGGAGATGCCTGGAAGCAGCGACACCCAGATGAGGTCCGTGGCTTGCAGGTTTGAAAGGGCCCGTGTGTTGGAGGCATTGGTGGCATCGAGGAAGGCCGGGGAGAGGCGCAGCAGAGCGAGGCGAGCTGCTGACACGATGGCTGCTGCTGCGAGGGCGAACGGTATGCTGGCTGGTGATAGGGTCACTGGGGTTGGATGGAGGGGTGAAGGGGGGTGGAGAGGGGTGAAAGGGGGTTGAATGGGCGCTGAGGGGGGGCTGGAATTGAAGGGCAACGGAGGGATAGTGTAGAGGGTGAGATAGGAGGCATGGGTGGCAGCAAGGAAGGCCGGGGAGAGATGCAGCAGAGCTAGGCGAGCTGCTGACACGATGGCTGCTGCTGCGAGGGCGAACGGCACGCTGGCTGGTGATAGGGTCACTGAGGGGTTGGATGGAGGGGTGGGGAGGGGTGAGAGGGGTGAAAGAGGATCAAGGGGGGCACGTGTGTTGGAAGGCTGGAGAGAGGCGCAGCAGAGCAAGGCGAGCTGCTGACACGATGGCTGCTGCTGCGAGGGCGAACGGCACGCTGGCTGGTGACAGGCTCACTGGAAAATGGACGGAGGGGTGGGATGGGGTGGGAGAGGGGTGAAGGGGGGTGAATGTGGGTTAAATTGAGGTGGGGCTGGAATTGAAGGGTAAAAGAGGGGTAGTGTAGAGGGTGAGATAGGGGGCATGGGTGGCAGCAAGGAAGGCCGGGGAGAGGCGCAGCAGAGCAAGGCGAGCAGCTGACACGATGGCTGCTGCTGTGAGGGCGAGAGGCACGCTGGCGGGTGATAGGGTCACTAAGGGTTGGATAGAGGGGTGGAGAGGGTGACAGGTTGTGTGTGAAAAGGGGTTGGAGGGGGGTGAAGGAGCGTTGAGTTGCGATGGAATCAAAGAAAGCAAAATGTGGGTGAGGTAGAGGGTGAGATAGAGTGTAGGTTCGATGGCAGGGGCTGTCAGAGGCACGGTGGAGAGTGGTAGAGGCACGGTGGAGAGTGGTAGAGGCACGGTGGAGAGTGGTAGAGGCACGGTGGAGAGTGGTAGAGGTGGGTGAAGATGAAGAGGAGGAGGAACAGGAGGAATAGGAAGTCATGTACATACCATGCATTCACATGCCATTCCTTCTCTCTCACATGCCATTCATGCTCTCTCACATGCCATTCATGCTCTCTCACATGCCATTCATTCTCTCTCACATGCCATTCATTCTCTCTCACATGCCATTCATGCTCTCTCACATGCAATTCATGCTCTCTCACATGCAATTCATGCTCTCTCACATGCCATTCATGATCTCACATGCAATTCATGCTCTCTCACATGCCATTCCTTCTCTCTCACATGCCATTCATGCTCTCTCACATGCAATTCATGCTCTCTCACATGCCATTCATGCTCTCTCACATGCCATTCCTTCTCTCTCACATGCCATTCATGCTCTCTCACATGCCATTCATGCTCTCTCACATGCAATTCATGCTCTCTCACATGCCGTTCCTTCTCTCTCACATGCCATTCATGCTCTCTCACATGCCATTCATGCTCTCTCACATGCCATTCATGCTCTCTCACATGCCATTCATGCTCTCTCACATGCCATTCATGCTCTCTCACATGCAATTCATGCTCTCTCACATGCAATTCATGCTCTCTCACATGCCCTTCATGCTCTCTCACATGCAATTCATGCTCTCTCACATGCCATTCATGCTCTCTCACATGCCATTCATGCTCTCTCACATGCCATTCATACTCTCTCACATGCCATTCCTTCTCTCTCACATGCCATTCATGCTCTCTCACATGCCATTCATGCTCTCTCACATGCAATTCATGCTCTCTCACATGCAATTCATGCTCTCTCACATGCAATTCATGCTCTCTCACATGCCATTCCTTCTCTCTCACATGCCATTCATGCTCTCTCACATGCCATTCATGCTCTCTCACATGCAATTCATGCTCTCTCACATGCAATTCATGCTCTCTCACATGCAATTCATGCTCTCTCACATGCCATTCCTTCTCTCTCACATGCCATTCCTTCTCTCTCACATGCAATTCATGCTCTCTCACATGCCATTCATGCTCTCTCACATGCCATTCATGCTCTCTCACATGCAATTCATGCTCTCTCACATGCCATTCATGCTCTCTCACATGCCATTCATGCTCTCTCACATGCAATTCATGCTCTCTCACATGCAATTCATGCTCTCTCACACGCCCCTCATTCACTCACATGGCATGGCTTGAAAGCAGTCAGTGATGGGCGCACCAGCGTCATGCCCCCAGGCGGATAGCTGGGGGAGGGTGGGCGGAGGGAGGGCAGGGAGGAATGGAAGAAAGGCAGATAAGTAAGGGATTCGGGAATTCATTGTGGCAGACAGTCAGTGATGGGAGCACCGGCGGGTCATGCCCCCAAGAGGATAGCTGGGGAGGTGTGAGAAGGGTGGGAAGAGGAATCGGGGGAATGAGATTTCAGGTGGAAGGGGAGAGGGAGGAAAGGCAGATAAGTGGGGGATTCCGTTATCCGCTGTGGCGGGCAAGGAATCCCCTGTGGCAACGGGATAGATGGAATGGAGCGGCGCCTTTTGAGGCGCCTCAAAAGATGGAATGGAGCGGCGCCTTTTGAGGCGCCTCAAAAGATGGAATGGAGCGGCGCCTTTTGAGGCGCCTCAAAAGATGGAATGGAGCGGCGCCTTTTGAGGCGCCTCAAAAGATGGAATGGAGCGGCGCCTCAGGAGATTTCTGAGGAGAGAAAAGGGGGGGGGGGATGGGCGATAGGGGGTAGGGAGAGAGACAAGGAAAGGGAGGAGAGAGGGGTTGGGAAGAGAAACGGGGGAAGGGGGGATTGAGAGAGTGATGGGATGGCTGGGGGTGGGATGGCTGGGGGTGGGATGGCTGGGGGTGAGTGAGATGGGTGGGGGTGAGATGGGTGGGGGTGGGATGGGTGGGGGTGAGATGGGTGGGGGTGAGATGGGTGGGGGTGAGATGGGTGGGGGTGAGATGGGTGGGGGTGAGATGGGTGGGGGTGAGATGGGTGGGGGTGAGATGGGTGGGGGTGAGATGGGTGAGGGTGAGATGGGTGGGGTGAGATGGGTGGGGGTGAGATGGGTGGGGGTGAGATGGGTGGGGGTGAGATGGGTGGGGGTGAGATGGCTGGTGGTGAGACTGGCCGTGGTAGCACTCTAGTTGTGTGACAACTCAAACCAGATCATGAGATACTGCTGGGTGCAGCGATGGGCTGAATACCGGAGTCTCAAGTTTCCCCAAATTGCCTCATCTCTTCTACCTTTGGTTGGGTGTCACCAAGTTGATAGCTACCGACTTCACTGATCGTCTCGGTAGCGCCATTTCTCGAAATTATTGCACTGGCAAAGTCGATTGGCGTGCGAAGGGTGACACATAATTCAGGTAAAGATTGATTGAAGTGCGATTGTTTTTCAGTCACGAAGTGAAGCGCAAAGGATTTCCTGAGTTGCAGCCCAGCTTTGGTAACTCTGGTGATAGTGTTTCATTTCGTGACCTACATCTTTTGAGGCGACTTTTGAGGCGACTTTTGAGGCGACTTTTGAGGCGCCTCAAAAGTAACTCTGGTGATAGTGTTTCATTTCGTGACCTACATCGAGCTATTTTCGGCACCACCCTGTTTCACAGGCCAATCCCTTCTCCTGCCCCAACCAACCTTCCTCCGTTTGAAAGCTATGGACCTCGGGTATTAAGTGGCTTTGCAGAGCAATGGGGATTGTGGGGAGGGTGGGGAAGGGGGGAGAGGGGGGAGAAGGAGCTGATGTCAAGAAAGTCAACGAGCCACCCACCTGTCTGACCAGCAGCCCAGCTACGGCCAAGCCTCCTGAAGTGGTTAGACACGCCCGCCAAACCTCCTCTCTAGGGGCGACAGCGACAGGAGCAGCAGGGACAGCAGGGGCAGCAGGGGCGGAAGAGGAAGTAGAATCTGGAGAGACGGGTGCAGCTATCGGCGGTGGCTTTTTAGTTAACTCGGAAGAGGAAGGAGAAGGTGGAGAGGTAGCGGGTGTAGCTGTGGATGGCGACGGTTGACCCGGTTGACTCAATTGACCTGATTGACTCAAATTCATTGACGCCTGGGTCAACTCGGAAATTTCCTGGGCTGATTTCTCTGGCCGCTCTGGTTGAATTGGTTGACTTGATTGACTGTCATTCAAGCGGTCCTGCTGCTGCCGGCTCGGCGCGCTGGACGGAGAAGGTTTGTTGGCGGCCTTCCTGCTGCCACGCGACTGTTTCGCGCTGCTTCCAGATTGTCGCTTGGCAGCTCGTGCGACGCCTGCTTTGCGCTGCGAGCCGACGCTGCGATGGTTCGCGACGGTCTGCGACTGCTTATACATGCGACTGCGACGCGACTGCTTGAGCGGGAGCTCGGCGACGAAAATCGAGCAACGCCATGGTGCCTCGCGGCGGATGGCGAGAGCAACTGATTGTGCGGTTACCATTGGCGAAAGCCTACATGTTTTCGCACGGGATGGAAATGCTGTTCCGAGCGAGGGTGCGCACGCGTGCATCGCGCGTGAATGCGGAGGATGCGTCGGTCGCGGGCTCGACGGGCAGAGCGCTGGAGGATCAGCGGCTCGCGGAGGAAAGGCGAGCGAGTTAGCTGTGCTATCAGAATGTAACACGGGGTGAATGCGCAGCAACTTCAATTCTATTTGCTCTGTATGCTCAGTGGATTTGTGAGGATATCTTATCTGAAACGAGGTTCGAGAACGAATGAAGGGGTGCTGACGAACCGGGTGAGTCAGCACACCCCGTTTCGCGAAAGCGTACGCACACATCTTCGCGATAGAAAACCGGTTGGGCGAAAGATCAATCTTTGCCCAACCGAGAGGAACTTCCACACTCGTCGAACTTCCAATCAAACTAACAGGTCGAGTTCTCGCAGCTCACAGTAACTTCTCTGCATAGGGTAACCGCTTAATATCTGATATGAAACTCGTGATTGTACTCCCTCCTGCGCAACGCACCCACGCATACACGTGATTGTTCTCGTTACAATCTCTAGCATACGTACTGGACTCAAAATGACACGAGTTTTCCTTTCCTCACTGTGAAACACTTTGCTGCCATTACAGTACTTCGTCCGCACCTTTGGAGCGCGTCGTCCGAGCAGTACCCACGTCTACGTTAGACAGGCTCATTCGCCCTTAGCGGAAGAGGGCGACCGCTGTTTAGGTCGTGGAACATCATCATTTTCGGCCAGCACTTTCACCTGGCATTTACTCGACCATTTAGTTTCGCCAACGGTTCGCGAACGACGGCCATTTCGCGACTGAGATCGCTTCGATAACCGCAGGTCCGCGCACCGCAACGAGGAAAGCGCGCCGGCAGGAAGGAAGGCGGAGTTGCTCCGCCAGTGCCCGCTGCCATCCCAGCTCTGAGTCGATTTTAGAGTCGACTCAAAAATCGTCTCATCACAAGCGCCAGCAAGGAGGAAAGCCGGCGGACGTGCTCCGCCAGTGCCCTCTGCGATCCGATCGCAGCTCTGAGGCACCTCTCACATTTACCAGCCAGAGGAAGTTGATTGGGCGTGTCGTCGCCCTCCCTCAGCGATCCATTTGCGATCTGCGATCCCGCTGCGATCTCTCTGCGATCCCTCTGCGACCTGCGATCCCTCTGCGATCCCGCTGCGATCCCTCTGCGATGGCTCAAGTACCCACCGACGTGCTTCTCCGGTGAGGCGCGCGAGAGGGAAGAGGGGGATGGGGCACGGGGAGAAATAAAGGAGGAGGATAGAGGTGAGTGAGGCAAGGAAGGAGGAGCGGGGAGGCGAGGAGAGATGAGGGAAGCATCGAGCCGCCTGTGCTCTGTCACCCGGCCCATCCATGCCCGCGCATGCATCCCGCCCCCCACTCCCTCACCCTTCTCCTCCCTCACCCTTCTCCTCCCTCACCCTTCTCCTCCCTCACCCTTCTCCTCCCTCACCCTTCTCCTCCCTCACCCTTCTCCTCCCTCACCCTTTCTCCTCCCTCACCCTTTTTCCTCCCTCACCCTTTTTCCTCCCTCACCCTTTTTCCTCCCTCGCCCTTTCTCCTCCCTCACCCTTTTTCCTCCCTCACCCTTTCTCCTCCCTCACCCTTTCTCCTCCCTCACCCTTTTTCCTCCCTCACCCTTTTTCTTCCCTCGCCCTTCTCCTCGCTCATCCCTCCCTACTATGACCCCTGACAGGGCGTTGAGGGAGGAGGTGGCGGCGATAGCGGCGCTGAAGCAGGCCATTCGAGACAAGCTGCACGTGCTGCAGGTGGGGGCTGAATGGGGTGGGGTGTGCCATGGTGCTAAGTTGGATCTTACGTTTTCGATTCGTTACGTTTTCGCTTATTTACGACATCTTTTTAACGTTTACGAACGGTTGCCTGGATTCGGCCTTACGTTTACGGTCACCTTAAAATCTCGCAAAATTTTACGTTTACGGGACCTTGAAAAACGTAAGAGCCCAACTTAGCCATGGTGGGTGGGTAGACGGTGGAGGGGGGCCGCATGTGGTGAGGGAGGAGGTGGGCGCTGAAGCAGGCGGCAGGCCTTTCGAGACAAGCTGCACGTGCTGCAGGTGGGGGTGGGGGTGGGGGTGGGGGTGGGGACTTTTGAGGCGCCTCAAAAGGGTGGGGGTGGAGGTGGGGAGCATGGGGTGGCAGGGTGGTGGGCAGGTGGGGATGGGCAGGTGGGTGCTTGGGGTGGTGGTGGCGATAAGTGCCTCATAAGCAGGCCCTCAAGACAAGCTGCACGTGCTGCACGCGGGGAGTGGGGTGTGCCATGGTGGGTGGGTGGGTGGATGGGATGAGGTAGTGCACGGCAAGGAGTACCACAGAAGCAGCATGGCATGTAGCTTGAACGATCCATAAAAACTATGCGCGCGAAATGACCGCATTTGTTGCTAGTGACCTTTGCGTGCCTCTGGCATGCCCCCATGCCATGCTCCCATGCCATGCCCTCATGCCATGCACCCATGCCCATGCCCCCATGCCATGCCCATGCCCCCATGCCCTGCCCATGCCTCCATGCCATTCCCATGCATCCATGCCATAACCATGCCCCCATGCCATTCCCATGCCCCCATTCCATGTCTCTCCATGCCATGGCTCCATGCATCCATGCTCGGCTGCCACCATGTGGGCAGGTGGACGAGCCCCCTGGTCATGCCCCTATGCCGCCCATGTCCTCATTCATGCCATGGCCCCATTCCCCTATGCCGCCCTGCTTCCCATCCCATGTGCGTTCTCACGCAAGCAGGTGGACGAGGCAAGCATGATGGAGATCCTTGTGCAGGCGGACGCCCCTCCCATCCCTCCGCCATGGCCCCCATGGCCCATTCCCAAGCAGGTGGACGAGGCGAGCATGATGGAGATCCTTGCGCTGGCGGACGCCCGTCCCATCCCTCCGCCACGCCCTATGCCCCCTTGGCCCCCGCATGGCCTCCATGGCCTGCCCCCCATTCCCCATTCTCCTTGCGCAGGCGGACGCTCACCCATCCCTCCGCCATGGCCCATGCCCCCCTACCCTCCCCTCCCCCTACGCCCCACCCGCCGTCAGAGCAGCCGCCGCTGCTGATTCCCATGTCCCCATTGCCATGTCCCCATTGCCATGTCCCCATTGCCATGTCCCCATTGCCATGTCCCCATTGCCATGTCCCCATTGCCATGTCCCCATTGCCATGTCCCCATTGCCATGTCCCCATTGCCATGTCCCCATTGCCATGTCCCCATTGCCATGTCCCCGTTGCCATGTCCCCATTGCCATGTCCCCATTGCCATGTCCCCATTGCCATGTTCCCATTGCCATGTCCCCATTGCCATGTCCCCATTGCCATGTCCCCATTGCCATGTCCTCATGACCCCATGCCACCCATGTCCCCATGCCACCCATGTCCCCATTGCCATGTCCCCATGACCCCATGCCACCCATGTCCCCATGCCACCCATGTCCCCATTGCCATGTCCCCATGACCCCATGCCACCCATGTCCCCATGCCACCCATGTCCCCATGCCCCTTCTCAACAGGTGGACGAGGCGAGCATGATGGAGATCCTCGCGCAGGCGGACGCCCCACCCGCCGTCAGAGCAGCCGCTGCTGCTGCTGAAGCGCACATGCACAGGGGCGCTGGGGGAAGTGGAGATGGGGGAGGGGGCGCGGATTGGGGCGGGGAAGAAGGGGAGGGGGCGGGGGAGGAGGAAGGGGAGGAGGAGATGAGTCTGGACGATCTGGTGGCTGGGCTGGCGGAGGAACTTGAGAGGGAGATGGGGGGTGGCGGGGGGCATGTGGGGGGACATGTGGGCGGTGGGGGGCAAGTGGGCAGTGGGGGGCAGGGTAGGAATGCAGGCAGCGGGGAAGGAGTGGGGGAAGGTGGGGGAGGAGGAGGAGGGGGAGGAGGGGGAGGAGGAGATGAGTTTGGATGATCTGGTTGCGGGGCTGGCGGAGGAACTGGAGAGAGAGATGGGGGGCGGCGGAGGAACTGGAGAGAGAGATGGGGGGCGGCGGAGGAACTGGAGAGAGAGATGGGGGCTGGCGGAGGAACTGGAGAGAGAGATGGGGGGCGGCGGAGGAACTGGAGAGAGAGATGGGGGGCGGCGGAGGAACTGGAGAGAGAGATGGGGGCTGGCGGAGGAACTGGAGAGAGAGATGGGGGGCGGCGGAGGAACTGGAGAGAGAGATGGGGGGCGGCGGAGGAACTGGAGAGAGAGATGGGGGCTGGCGGAGGAACTGGAGAGAGAGATGGGGGGCGGCGGAGGAACTGGAGAGAGAGATGGGGGGCGGCGGAGGAACTGGAGAGAGAGATGGGGGGCGGCGGGGGGCACGTGAGGGGCGATGGGGGCCATGGGGGTGGTGAGGGGCATGGGGCTGGTGGGGGGCATGTGGGGGGGCATGAGGGGGGTGGTGGGGGGGCATGTGGGGGGCCATGTGGTGGGGCATGTGGGGGGGCATGAGGGGGGGCATGAGGGGGGTGGTGGGGGGCACGCGGATGCAGACAGTGGGGGAGGAGGAGCGGATGAGTTTGGATGATCTGGTGGCTGGGCTGGCGGAGGAGCTTGAGGGAGAGATGGAGGGCGGGCATGGGGCATGTGGGCGGGCATGGGGCATGTGGGCGGTAGGGGGCATGTGGGCGGGCATGGGGCATGTTGGCGGTAGGGGGCATGTGGGCGGTCGGGGGCATGTGGGCGGTCGGGGGCATGTGAAGGGATTTGAGAATCATGTTGGGGGACACGCGGATGCAGGCAATGGGGGATGGCGATTGGAGTAAGAGTTGGAGAGAGGAGACGGGGGATGGTGCGGTGGATGCAAGATGTGGGGGAGGTGGGGAGGGACCAGAAGAGAGAGCGAGGAGATTGTGGGAGATGCGTTAGGCATGGGTACTGGCGGGAATGGGGCATGGACAAAGGAGGGCTGATGAGGTCGCAAGGGAGATGAGCAGAGAACGGAAAAGGGAGAAGGAGAGGAGGGGGAGGAGGGAGAGGAGGAAGGGAGAGGAGGGAGATGAGGGAGAGAAGGAAGTGGAGGAAAAGGAGCAGGCGGTGTTGAAGGCACTGCAGGAGATGAGGCGCACGGGGGTGAGGAAGGCCGTGAACGAGACGAGGGCAAGATTGGGCTGCTAGAGAAGAGGAGTGACGAAAGGCGAAGATATGGGAGGTGAGAGCTCCACAGAGCTGGGATGATTGAGCTCTTGTGGGAGAGATCTGTGGTGTGGGATGCAGTGAAGGGTTGCATGGGGAAAGCGTGTCCGAACATAAAGCACATGCGCGTCACACTCGCAAGTCACATGCTGGATGCATCTGTGTCTCATTTACTTCCCTTGATTACCCTCTCTCAACCCATGCTCCTCCTTGCGCCCCTTGCTCCGCCCCATCCCCTTCATCTGCCCCCATGCTCTGCCCCGCCCTGCCCCCATGCTTTTTTAAGAGCAGCAGAGCTTCTGTAACCTTGGATGACATATTGTAGGAGATTTTGTTCTGCACTACCCTGACTCGCATCCCATAAGCCACGGAAGAACCCAACTTTCAGGGTACGCTAGAGAATGCCTACCCTACTGTGGCCGGCATTGTCTAGTATACACTGGTTACGGTAAGTATAACCATTCAATGTATTCTTGTACAAGTTTTGTGAGCCTCCTTTTGAGGAACTTTTTTTTTTTTTTTTTTTTTTTTTTTTTTTTTTTTTTTTTTTTTTTTTTTTTTCAGAATGCACCTGTATCAAACACTAGCTTTCAACTTGATATTCAGATACAGTACCATAGCGGTTGCTGTACTGGTACGTACATTGATTGTGATTATTCATACCCATTCATTCTTATGAATTTTGCAATGTAACTTCTCTTGTACCACTATCCCACTGCAAAATTATGTATATTATTCTCTTTTCAGTAATGTATTTCAGAGTGTTTTATGAACTAATCAGATGAATTAGGCAATCTTGAGTTCGGCCGTTAGCGAACCAACATTTATGTTTCTCGGTCTTTTGCAGGGCGCAACTGCTGCGCAGTAGACTCAATTGCCAACTGAAACTGCTGCTGCTGAACGCCTTCTTCTCCCACCATCATCGTTCTGTAATCCTAGGTTTTTACAAATCGCTCTTGTAACATCGTGCTGAGTTCAATGGGTGCTGCTGGAATGGTGAGCGAAACCCACCAGGTGGCACATGTGCATAGGGCTGTCAGCTGAATTTCCCTTCTTTTTGCTGCAAGCACCTCCCCCGTGCTGCGCGCGCATGTCGGTGTGCAAGCTCTGGCCGCTCTGAAGCGCGGGGCTGGGGAGCTCGACAGATGAGGGCCGCTGCAGTGCTCGCGTGCAGCACGGCGCATGCCGTCCCTCTCACGGAGCTCGCACCGATTACTCGTAGCCTCACCCGCGTTCCGTTGACTTTTGAGTCGACTCAAAAGTCTCACGGAGCTCGCACCGATTACTCGTAGCCTCACCCGCGTTCCGTTGGTCGAGGGGGTAGAAGTAGCGCAGTTATTTGTTTCTCCCGCGCAACAGCGAACCACCGCCACCATTGCCCACCGCGCTATCGGCTAAGCCCTGACGAGCCGCACCGCGCAGCCTGACGTTTACATGCAGCGTCGCAGCGCGCTCGAACCGATGCGTGCCGCGTGAGCCCGAGTTGGCGCAACTTAGTCTTCGCCTTGCCACCGCCTCGTTCAGAACGTTTCATCGCAGGTCCGAATCTAAATGACTTGAATGCTCGGTGAATGTTCAGAACGTCCCACGCCGGTGAAGGTCGTGGGACCGAATCAAGCGATGCTGAGCCCCTCCTCGTCTCGCAGCCGTCGCCGCCTTTTCGCCTCGGTCACCCTCTTCGTGCCGATTTGCCTCGTCCTCGCCACGTGTTCGCGCCTTTCCCTGCCACGTGTGCACTTCTCACTGCGCCTCGAATGGCCCGACGGCCGCCCGTATCATGACGTCAGCAGCGGCCTCCCTGAGAGTGGCCATTTGGCGGCAGGCGCGAGTCGACGGAGGGCCCTCGCGGAAAGTCCGTCCGCCGCTCCGCCGTCGCCCCCTCCGGTGTGCGAGTGCCCCGCGTGCCCCGCCGGCGCCAGTGTGGGGGAGGGCGACGATGCGAGGAGCGCTACTGGAGGGGGGAGCGGTGGGGCGGAGGGGGAAGGCGAGGCGGCGGAAGCGTGGGGCGAAAACCACGCGTTCCGAGTGCACCCGACGAGCATCAGCCTGTTTGCTGTCATCAGCACGTACCGCACCGGCGAGGCCAGGTGGGGTAAGGCGAGGCCAGGTGGGGCAAGGCGAGGCGCTGGGTGTGGTACGGCAGGTGAGGCAAGGCGCTGGGTGTGGTACGGCAGGTGAGGCAAGGCGCTGGGTGTGGTACGGCAGGTGAGGCAAGGCGCTGGGTGTGGTACGGCAGGTGAGGCAAGGCGCTGGGTGTGGTACGGCAGGTGAGGCAAGGCGCTGGGTGTGGTACGGCAGGTGAGGCAAGGCGCTGGGTGTGGTACGGCAGGTGAGGCAAGGCGCTGGGTGTGGTACGGCAGGTGAGGCAAGGCGCTGGGTGTGGTACGGCAGGTGAGGCAAGGCGCTGGGTGTGGTACGGCAGGTGAGGCAAGGCGCTGGGTGTGGTACGGCAGGTGAGGCAAGGCGCTGGGTGTGGTACGGCAGGTGAGGCAAGGCGCTGGGTGTGGTACGGCAGGTGAGGCAAGGCGCTGGGTGTGGTACGGCAGGTGAGGCAAGGCGCTGGGTGTGGTACGGCAGGTGAGGCGCGCCCTCGTCCCTCTGTGCCTTAAGAACCCCTCGTCCCTCTGTGCCTTAAGAACCCCTCGTCCCTCTGTGCCTTAAGAACCCCTCGTCCCTCTGTGCCTTAAGAACCCCTCGTCCCTCTGTGCCTTAAGAACCCCTCGTCCCTCTGTGCCTTAAGAACCCCTCGTCCCTCTGTGCCTTAAGAACCCCTCGTCCCTCTGTGCCTTAAGAACCCCTCGTCCCTCTGTGCCTTAAGAACCCCTCGTCCCTCTGTGCCTTAAGAACCCCTCGTCCCTCTGTGCCTTAAGAACCCCTCGTCCCTCTGTGCCTTAAGAACCCCTCGTCCCTCTGTGCCTTAAGAACCCCTCGTCCCTCTGTGCCTTAAGAACCCCTCGTCCCTCTGTGCCTTAAGAACCCCTCGTCCCTCTGTGCCTTAAGAACCCCTCGTCCCTCTGTGCCTTAAGAACCCCTCGTCCCTCTGTGCCTTAAGAACCCCTCGTCCCTCTGTGCCTTAAGAACCCCTCGTCCCTCTGTGCCTTAAGAACCCCTCGTCCCTCTGTGCCTTAAGAACCCCTCGTCCCTCTGTGCCTTAAGAACCCCTCGTCCCTCTGTGCCTTAAGAACCCCTCGTCCCTCTGTGCCTTAAGAACCCCTCGTCCCTCTGTGCCTTAAGAACCCCTCGTCCCTCTGTGCCTTAAGAACCCCTCGTCCCTCTGTGCCTTAAGAACCCCTCGTCCCTCTGTGCCTTAAGAACCCCTCGTCCCTCTGTGCCTTAAGAACCCCTCGTCCCTCTGTGCCTTAAGAACCCCTCGTCCCTCTGTGCCTTAAGAACCCCTCGTCCCTCTGTGCCTTAAGAACCCCTCGTCCCTCTGTGCCTTAAGAACCCCTCGTCCCTCTGTGCCTTAAGAACCCCTCGTCCCTCTGTGCCTTAAGAACCCCTCGTCCCTCTGTGCCTTAAGAACCCCTCGTCCCTCTGTGCCTTAAGAACCCCTCGTCCCTCTGTGCCTTAAGAACCCCTCGTCCCTCTGTGCCTTAAGAACCCCTCGTCCCTCTGTGCCTTAAGAACCCCTCGTCCCTCTGTGCCTCGTTTGAGGCGCCTGAAGAGTACGTCCCCCTCTTATAAACCCCTTATCCCTCTGTGCCTCGCGCACCGCACCTTCCCGTCTGCTTCCATTTGTGCCATCCCACCCCACGTCACTTCATCCAATCGCCTCCCTGACCATCTTCCCCATCTCGTCGTCTTCCTGTTTGAACTGAAGGGAGCACGTGCCATGCACGTGCTAGGAGGGAAGGGGGGGGGGGGGGGGGGGGGGGGGGGGGGTGTATACACCTGCGCACGCACGCACACACCCCCCCCCCCTCCTCCCCGCTCCTCCCTCTCCTTCCCCCCTTCCCCCCCATGTGTGCTTCGTGCTGCTGGGCAGCTTCATGGTGGTGAGCAAGTCGCTGCTGGGCGATCAGCTGCACCCCCCTCTTTCCTCTCTTCCCCTCCCCCCTCTCTCCTCTCCCATGCGTGCTGCTGCTGCTCCCCAGCTTCGTGGTGCTGGGCGAGTCGCTGCTGGGCGTGTGCTGCGTACACACACAATCTAATCCTCGTTGCTTTCCCTCCCTTCCCATGCGTGCTTTGTGCTGCTCCCCAGCTTCATGGTGCTGGGCGAGTCGCTGCTGGCCGCTCAGCTGCTCTTCAATCAAACCATTCAAACCATCTTTCACCCATTACTCTGGATTATCAAATGTCCCTCCTTCGTCTCCCTCCTCTCCCATGCGTGCTGCCTGCTGCTCAGCTTCATGGTGGTGGGCGAGTCGCTGCTGGGCGCTCAACTGCATTTCGCGGGTGCGCTGGTGGACGAGTGTGTGTGGCAGGGCGGAGGGGAGGGGGACAGGGGAGAAAAGGAGCCTCCGGTAGTTGCTCCAGCAGAGACTTTACATGTGAGTAGCATGTGAGTGGCATGTGAGTGGCATGTGAGTAGGATGTGAGTGGCATGTGAGTAGCATGTGAGTAGCATGTGAGTAGCATGTGAGTGGCATGTGAGTGGCATGTGAGTAGCATGTGAGTAGGATGGGAGTGGCATGTGAGTAGCATGTGAGTAGCATGTGAGTAGCATGTGAGTAGCATGTGAGTGGCATGTGAGTGGCATGTGAGTAGCATGTGAGTAGCATGTGAGTGGCATGTGAGTAGCATGTGAGTAGCATGTGAGTGGCATGTGAGTAGCATGTGAGTGGAATGTGAGTGGCATGTGAGTAGCATGTGAGTGGCATGTGAGTAGCATGTGAGTGGCATGTGAGTGGCATGTGAGTGGCATGTGAGTGGCATGTGAGTAGCATGTGAGTGGCATGTGAGTGGCATGTGAGTAGCATGTGAGTGGCATGTGAGTAGCATGTGAGTGGCATGTGAGTGGCATGTGAGTGGCATGTGAGTGGCATGTGAGTAGCATGTGAGTGGCATGTGAGTAGCTGCTGGGCGCTCAGCTGCACTTCGCAGGCGCATTGGTGAACGAGTGTGTGTGTCAGGGCAAATAACTTGCAAATCCAGTCTGTGGTTCGGGCTTATAAAAGAGTTTGACCACATCCTGTCCTGCCCGTGCCACCTCAATACACGCCCACATCCACGCCCTTGCCCACGCCACCTCAATTCTCTTCTGCATTTCATCACTCACCCACCCTCTCCTCCCGTGCCTCTGCTCCTCTCCCCCCCCCCCCCCCCCCACACACACTCTGTTCTCCCCATTACCAGCTGCGCCCTTCAGAGCACATCTCCCTTCCCTGGGGCGCGCTGCTCATCCGCTGCGCCTTCAACACGTCAGTGGGCAGCAACAGCAGAGGCGGCGTGCTTTCTGTATTGAAGCGCTCAGAGCAGCAGCGGCAGCGCCGTAGCATCGCCCACGAGCACTCCCATGCAGTCGGCTTCGACGTGGAAGCCACCTCCCCCCTCACCCTGCATACCGCCGCCATGCCCGTTTTCCGGGAGAAACCCGGCGGCTTCGATATAGTCACATCCCCGCTTAAGTACAACCTGACCCACTGCAGCGGGTCGCTCTTTGGGCACATCGATCCGCGGGCGCTGGGGGATTGGCTTCGGTACCACCACAGGGTTGTGGGCGTGGAGAAGTTTTTTTTCTATGATCACGGAGGGCTCACTGTGGATAATGATACGGCGACAGTGGTGGCGCCTTATGAGGAGACGGGGGTGGTGACTGTAACGAGGATGAAGGGTGGGCGTCATTTCGTGTCGTACTATTCGCATCAGATTATGAATCAGAACGACTGCCTGTATCGCTCGAGATTCCTCACCAAGTGAGCTCTCTCGCCTGCTTGTCCTGCCCATGTCTGTATTGGTGCCATGTCCTACTTGAAGCTGGGTTTTCTCCCACACACACTTGGCCTTGTTTCCTGTTTCCTGCCTTTTGGCTCAGATCCTTTTCATTGCTGTTAGCCTACCGCTTAGCTCTTCTCATCTTTCTCACTTCAGCCACCACGCCTTGCCCCGTCTCGCCTTCCCGTCCACCCCACCCCCCTCTCCCCTCCCCCCATCCCCGCTCCCCTCCTACCCTCGCCCTCTCCCTCCCCCCCCCCCCCCCACTCCTCATCGCCAGGTGGCTGCTCAACACGGACCTGGACAAGTACATCTTCATGCCTCTCACCCGTCCGCTTCACACCCCCCTCTGCCCCCCCAACCTCTTAAATCCCCGCTCCTCACCACCATTGGCTGCTCTACACAGACCTCGATGAGTACATCTTCACGCCGCCATGCCTTGCCCTGTCTCACCCCCTCCCCCAACCCTCAATTTCTTCCTTTCCCGCCTCACCACCAGGTGGCTGCTCTACACGGACCTCGATGAGTACATCTTCACGCCGCCGCCCGCCACCTTCCTCTCGTGGCTTGACCGCCTGCCGAGCAACGCTTCATGGGCGAGCATGGGGTCGTACATGCACAGCATCAACACCTGCAGCCAGCCGCACCACGGCAATGCCACTAACGAGTCACAGCTCTTAGTGGAGCATCTGCCTTGGAGGGCCGAGATGCCTAGCTGCTCTGATCGGGCCAAGGCGTTGGTGTGCCCGGGAGCGCAGGGGAGGAGGAAGCAGGTGGTGGATCCGAGGAGGATTAACATGGTATCAGTGCATCGTGTGGAGAACCCTTGGGATGCGTATGGTGTCGACTGGAATGCCTCATTTGCCGAGCCTATGCCGAAGCTGATGCATTTCCAAGGCCTTCCGGTGAGGAAACCTGTGAATGTGCGGTGTAGGGATGTCAAGGAGGGACCTCTGAATGAAGGAGAGGTGGTGGAAGATGGGAAGGTTCTGGATTTTACGTTTGGAGATTTTGTTGCAAGTGCTTTGAATAAAGTTGGTTGATGGTGCTTCTTAAAAAAGAAATGCATTCATGATCATGATACAGGCGTGCGTACTTTCCAACTGTAAAAAAAAAAATAACAACAATATAATATCAGCAAATCCTTGTAATCAGGGCCTACTCAATCAAAATAATATGCTATGATTACTACACGTAGCAGTCTTTACATATTTCATGCAATGTTCTTCACTCAAACAACTTATGGGAAATCCAAGTTGCGTTGTGCACTCGCGTAACGCGACTGTCGCAGTTCTTCTTCAGTCGCACTTGAATCGAAACCGGTAACCGACATCAAACGAAACCTACCCGCCACCTCCGCACGAGAAACTGATTTGGCATTTGGAATTCATTTGGCGAACCCTAGTTTCCTCCATCCCGTCCTCGCACATTCCTTCCCTGATTCCTGTATTATTCAGCATAGCTCTGAACGATAGGTGAGCCTTCCCCACCGCTTCTAGTGTTGCTGTACCACCTCTAGGCGAGGTCTAGCATTTGGGTTCATTTGGCGAACCACCCACTTGAGCCTCACAGTACCTGCTACACAGTCGCGGCCTCGTAGCGACACTCAGGGGGGCCAGCGGGTGGTGGCAGGTGTGTGGCGGGCAGCGGAACGCAGCGCGTAGTGGAGCGGGTGGCGACAGCGGGACGTACCTGGGCGGGCGTGCAGCGGGCAGCGGACAGCGGGCAGCGGGCAGCGGGCAGCGGGGCGTAGCGCGGAGCGGCGGGGATGGCGGAGGAGGAGGAGCTGGCGATGGGGTCGGACGACGACGCCGACGCGGAGAGCCCCGAGGAGATCCTCGCCAAGATCGACGACCGCTCGCAGCGCGTCGCGCACTTCCTCTCCGAGTGAGCTGCTCCTCCCGCGTGAGCTACTCCTTTTGCGTCGCCTGCCATTCGAGCACTCAACCCCACGTCCCCTCTCGTCCCTCCTCAGCCCGTGCATTCGCCCCTCTCACTCCCTCCGTTCGGCTCTCTCGCTCCCCCCATTCTCCCGCCTTGCTCCCTCCATTCGCCCATCTCGCTCCCTACATTCTCCCCTCTCACTCCCTCCGTTCTCCCCTCTTGCCCCTTGCTTTCTTTCCTCCCGCTCCCTGCATTCACCCCTCCCGCTCCCCCCATTCACCCCATTCACCCGGCTGTTCCCACACTTTACCGTTATGGTACACTCATTCCTCCCGCCCCTCCCCCACAATCACCCCCTCTTCGAATTCACGCGGCCTGCACTGCAGGGGTCGAGTGCCAGAGGCGCTCAAGGCGGTTTTTGAGAATTCTCAAAAACACCCCACTGCAGGGGTCGAGTTCCAGAGGCGCTCAAGGCGGTTTTTGAGAATTCTCAAAAACACCCCACTGCAGGGGTCGAGTGCCAGAGGCGCTCAAGGCGGCTGTGAGCGTGATGGTGCACTTGTCCCCATCCCACCCCCGCCCTCCCCCTCCATCCTCTTCCCCCTTGCCCCATCTTCCCTCCCCGCGTGCACAGGCCTGCCCTGCCCTGCAGGGGTCGTGTCCAGAGCCGCTCAAAGGCGGTTGTGGGCGTGATGGTGCACTTGTCCCCCATCTTCCTCCCCCCTCACCTCCCGTCCCCCTCCCTTCTCCCCACTTTCTCGGGTGCACGCGGCCTGCCCTGCAGGGGTCGAGTGCCAGAGGCGCTCAAGGCGGCTGTGAGTGACCCGCCCATCGCCACCCCTTCTCCCTCCACCTCCCCCAACCTTCCCTTCCTCGCCCCCCGTCCCCCCCCTCTCCCCAGGCGCATTGGGCTTGCAGGGGTCGAGTGCCAGAGATGCTCAAGCCGGCTGTGAGCGTGATGTTGTGCTTGTCCCCCTCCTCTCTCCCCACTACCCCCTTCCCCCCCTGCGTGCATCAAACCTGCAGGGGTCGAGTGCCAGAGGCGCTCAAGGCAGCTGTGAGTGACCCGCCCATTGTCATCCCTTCTCCTCCTGGTCACCCGGTGCCTTCCCCCCTCCCCCTCCCCCCCCCCCCCCCCCCCCCCCTCCCCTTTCTTGGGTGCACGGGCGTGCAGGGGTCGAGTGCCAGAGGCGCTCAAGGCGGCTGTGAGCGACCCGCCCATCGCCACGCGGGACCAGAAATGCAAGGTGCGTATGGCTGCCCAGTGCCCACCCCGTAGCAAGGTGCAGAAGCACCAGGTGCGTGGCTTCTTGCATTCTACCTGCTTTGCTTGTGTAGCGTGTTTTGAGACGTCTCGAAACAGAAGCACCAGGTGCGTTGCTTCATGGCTTCTTACATTACCTGCTTTGCTTGTGAAGCCTGCCCACCCCGTACATATTGTAATGTAAGCAGGCCGATTCTTTAATGCGTGTGTGGGCTGGCGCACATGTTGGTACTCACGTTCGTTCACTGCGGTGAAGGAGTGTATCATCATACGCTGCCGATTGCCGATTGCTGCCAATTGCTGCGCCTCGGATCGGATGTACTCGTTCGTGATTTTGACTCGCTGTGCCTTGCAGTGCCTGTTGATTTTGACTCGCTGTGCCTTGCAGTGCCTGTTGATTTTGACTCGCTGTGCCTTGCAGTGCCTGTTGATTTTGACTCGCTGTGCCTTGCAGTGCCTGTTGATTTTGACTCGCTGTGCCTTGCAGTGCCTGTTGATTTTGACTCGCTGTGCCTTGCAGTGCCTGTTGATTTTGACTCGCTGTGCCTTGCAGTGCCTGTTGATTTTGGAGTCGACTCAAAAATCGGCTGTTGACTTGTTGTGCCCGTTGGAACCCAGAACACACAAAAACTATCAAGTGTTGAGATTATTAAGTTCAGAATCTAGACCTCCCATGTTCAGCCGTCGTGTTTCACCATGCTGCTGAGGTGAGAGATGACTGTTGAGTCAGCTCAAAAGTCAGCTCTGTTCAGCCGTCGTGTTTCACCATGCTGCTGAGGTGAGAGAGTGGGGCGACACGCTGACGGATGCCAGCTCTTCATAGCAGCGGGTGTTGGACAGGGGTTTAACCTTTTCCCTCTTACTCATCATTCGCCAAACCTCCCTTGACTCATTAACTAACTCCCTTCCATTGCGTGCCCTGCTGTGCTGGTGAGAGGCAGGATGCCAACTGGGAGGTGGTGCAGGGGGGTTTCATCTGCCCCAACCTCCGTTGCCTTCTCTAAACCCGTTCCATTTCATTCTTTTCTTTTCCATCTGCCGGTGAGGGGTGGGCAGGATGCCAACTGGGAGGTGGTGCAGCGGGATTTCGTCTGTCCGAACCTCCGTTGCTCTCCACTTTATCCCTTCCATTTCATTCCTTTTTTTTTCCCTCATCTGCCAGGATGCCAACTGGGAGGTGGTGCAGCGGGCGCTGGTGGCAGTGGAGGATGTGGATGGGGCCATTGCAGGGCTCAAGTCCGAGGGGTGTGACACACTTATGCGGTGAGTGCTGTGTGTGTGCGTAGTGCAGATTTGCCAGTGGGATGGAGTGGGGTGGTCTGACCTAGTGCAACTAAAATACACCTGTTGATGCATTGGGCCCCGTTCACTAATCTCGCAGCACATGGTTCAAGCCTGAAAATCATAGAAAAGGGAAATAATGTGGTGCAGAGGGCGATGATTGCGCCCCCTTGGCCAGCAAAATGTGTAGCGGCCAAGAGATCCCCCCTTGGCCAGCAAAATGTGTAGCAGCCAAGAGATCTCTCTCGTTGTGCTCCCCTTTTGTTGCTGCTTTCTCAACTGTTTTTGCTGCTCTGTCCACTGCTGCTGTTACTTGCTCCTTGTACTTGCTGTTACTTGCTCCTTGTACTTGCTCCTTGTAATTGCTCCTGATACTTTTCCTGTGGACAGGGGACCCATCGCTGTGTGTTCCTTCACCCCACTGTGCCGTGCCCCCGCCCTGCACCCCCCTGTGTCCCTCCACTCTCACGTGCCCCCCCCCCCACATCGCCGTGCCCCCCCTGCAGGTACCTGTACCGCGCACTGAGAACAGGGGATGCATCGCTGTGCGCGCGGGCGCTGCGGGTGCATGAGAAGCTGACGGAGAAGGCAGGGCTGGGCTGCATCATGCGCGTTATGGCTGATAGGAAGCACACTGTGTAGTGTTCAGTGTCTCTATGTTCAGTCCTCAGTGTCTCTATGTTGAGATATTTGTTCCATAATAGCATCTAGCCTAGACATCTCGTTTCGTGCAGCCAAATGGTTAGCAGCAGCTTGAAGGGTCAAGCTTTAACAGTGCTGGAAGTAGGACGGTACCGACCGGTACCAATACAGGACAGGTCCTTGATGTGGTACGGTATGGTGCAGTACGGTACAATACGTCTCTTACTGGCATGTTGAGCATGGTTCTGGCTTGAGGAGGTAGGGGACACTGGAGAAACACGGGAACCTGAATTCGAGGCTGGTGCATGCACCCACAAGAAAAAAAGATTGGGGATAAGATGGTCAAAACGAAGGGGTTTGGGGTTAGGCTTTCTTGACAGGGGGAAGAGGAAGAAGGGGGTCAAGGAACATGGGAGCGAGCAGAGGTTCACCAAGTCAGGAACACAAAAGTGATGTGTTATTTACGAGCAGACAAAATGGCAATGACATTGAGAGGGGGAAGAGGAAGAAGGGGGTCAAGGAACACGGGAGCGAGCAGAAATCTACATGTGATGTATTAATGAGGTGTAGACTAAGTTTCCATGCACACTTACAACATTCCCTAGCCCCATGCCCAAGCACACACACGCACGCACACACGCACGCACGCACACACACACACACACACACACACACACACACACACACCCCACCACACCCACACTCACACCAACACCCACACACACACACCCATACACACGCCCCCACCCCCACCCCATCAACACCCCCACACACACCCAACCCCCACCAGAGCTCAAAAACTCAGTCTCACCTATCCAGAGGCGGTCCAGCCTGCTTCACCTCTTCCCACACTTTGTTAAACCTCTCAACCGTTCCTCACTTCGCATATCGACCCATCAAGGCCCACTAGGTCTTCGAATTTCGCCTTTCTCCTGCTCCCCACATCACCTCAATACACAGGTCCGTTTCCCAAACTGCCCGGCGAGCACATATGCACCAATAAGGACGTTGTACGCCACACTGCTGGGCTGCCCGCTGGGCTGCCCGCCGTCTGCCCGCATGCATGCGCACGAGATACGGCTCCAATTTTACTTAGAGAATTAAAAAAAGTTTCAAACCAGTACTTTATTTTTCCCCAAGCCTGCTGAGGGCGGCATTGTAAGCAACTTCGTCAGCAACATTCCCTTTGGACGGGGATAAGAGGAGGGGGGGGGGTGCTGCTGATATATAAGAATTGTTTTTTGAGTCGTGAGGCAGGCATCATTCCCTGGCGGTGAGTGGAGATGCATGTAGGAGCACGGGAACCTGACATATATAATATATAATAGCAAGTGTTTGTGTGCGTGTGGCACACACACGCACACACACACATGCGCGCGCGCGCGCGCGCACACACACACACACACACACACACACACACACACACACACACACACACACACACACACACACACACACATGAGCCTTGCTGAGGCTGGTTAAGAAACTTGACAGGCATCATTCCCTGGCGGTGGGTGGAGATGCATAGAGGAGCAGGGGAGCTTGGCATATCATACACATAGCAATTGAGACTAGCGTGCACTCACCTTCTCCTTCGTTTCTTGGCAACATCTGATCAGCCTCCACCACTTGCTCCAACCGCGAGCATTGAGGTGTATTTTGAACCGCCTCAACCACGCCTCAACCGGTTTAAGGGTTCAACCGCGAGCAAAATACGTCTCTTTCAGCATTTGATCTGCCTCCAGCACTTGCTCCAACCAAGGTTTTGAGATGTCTCAAAACTCGTGGCTGCAGCTCGCCCGGCCCTCATGGCTGAACGTTTCTTGCAACATTTGATCAGCCTCCAGCACTTGCTTCAACCGCTCCTTATTGCTATTATAAACACCTTATAGAAACCGTCTTCTTGTTATAATCACCCTTTCTGTACACTCACCTTCCCCTTCATTTCTTGCAACATCGAATCTCCTCTAACAAGTTCCCCCAACCGCTCCTTCCTTGAGACTTCCTTCCCCTCCTCCTCCTAGAACCAATCCGAATCACCCCCAACCACATCCCCTTCCTTCCTTCCTCCCCCCTCCCTCCTCTCCACCGTCCTCTTCTCCCTCGCTCGCTATTGCCCCATCAAACCTATCCCATGCAGCCCCTTTTATTATAATCCCCTTTGTTGGGTTATTAACCCCTGAAGATTGGCCCAATACAGGGTATATTCTTAGGTACCCCTTGATAACGCAGCCATTCCAGTTCTTGCTCTAGCTTGTGCGCCTGCCTTCGCCTAGCAAAATGAATGAGCACTCTAACGTGCACGTGATTCACAAGCGGCCAGAGAGAAAAACAACCGGTTTTTACCCAATCGCGCTGAGGATGAGCGAATGAAAATACTGCTAGGGAAAGAAAAAAAACATTGCTTGAACGGTCTCCACCGCGTTGCACTGCACATCATTGGCTGGAAGGGCAGTTGGTTCAGAGGGCAAGACACCTCAGTCAACCGCACTCAACCGCACCCAACAATCAACCCCACTAAGTGTTCAAATCCCACCGACCTTTTTTGCACGCAACTCCTCAGGAAAGGAGAAGAACATGTCTCTAACGGTCTCCACCGCATTGCACTGCGCAGCACAGGTGGGGGTAAGTTGGTAGTCACGGGGATTGAGGGGAGAGCCTGGGCCGGTGATAAGCCAATCAGAGAGCTGGGGGAGGGGAAAGAGGGAAGGGTGGGGAGGGAAGTGGCCAAGATGGGGAAAGAAGGGGAGGAGATTGGGGAGGGGAGGGAAGGGGGGGAGAGTGGAGTGGGGAGGGACAGGGGGGAGAGTGGGGAGGAAAAGAGAGGATGAATGTGGGAGCAGGTGGGTGGGAGAGGGGGAAGGGGCAACAAACGAGAGCTAGCCGGTACTCTAGGGGACTGAGGGGAAATTCTGGGGAGATGATGAGCCAATGAGAGAGCTGCAAGTGAGAGTGGGGCCAGGGAGAAGAGAAGGTGCGAGAGGGCCCAACAGGAGAGGGCATATGGGTTGCAGTGAAGGATGGCCTATAGAGGGATGGGACAGAGAGACAGTAAGAGAGAAAGAGGGATACTGAAGGGGAGGGATGAGGGGGAAGAGAGCAAGTGAGGGAGAGGGAACACACAACCCCTTGATATTTGTTTTCATGCACCAGTCACGTCAAGTTTTGAAGTGCAAAATTTTTTTGATGCAGAAATAGCTCGAAGGACAGATTCTGATTACATCTTCCTCAGCGGACACAAAAGCACCAGCTACACGTGCTCAGCAGGATTCGAACCTGCGCGGGCAGAGCCCAACAGATTTCTAGTCTGTCCCGATAACCACTCCGGCATGAGCACACAATATTTTTCCAACAGAATCCATAGTAGGCTGATCTTAATCGTCACCGTTGACTCACAAGTATCAAGCAGCCCAGCTCCCTCACTCCCTCCGAACGTACCTCCTCCTTCCTTTGCTCGTCGTCACTCCTCAAACCACGCCACGAGGCGCCCAGCAGCCCGGCCTCGCCCAGCTTCGCCTGCAGCCTCTCGCGCACATCTGCCACGTCAGCAGCCTCTACTGTGCTGCTGTGGGGGCGAACAGTGCGGCCATGGCATAGGGATGGGAGTCTATGGCACAGAAGTAGGTGTAGGAGAAGCAGGTGCGGAGTCAGTGCTGGGGGGTGGGCGGGAGGTGTGGGGGTAGGGAAGGGGAGAGGAAAGGACGAAAAGGGCAAACAGCACCGCTGGGAAGACAATGGCATTGTGGGATGGAGAAAAGGGTTATGAGAGAGATGGGGAAAAGGGCTACGAGAGAGATGTGGAAGAGAATATCGTAGGTGACTTCTGAGAAGGGCAAACAGCACCGCTGGGAAGACAATGGCATTGAGGGATGGAGAAAAGGGCTATGAGAGAGATGTGGATGGCATGGCAATATTGTAGGAGCACCGAAGTTTGGGGGGGAACAAGTCGGTGTGGGAGAAGCAAGTGCAGAGGTGGGGGGGGACGGGTGCAGGGGAAGTGAAGAGGGCAACGGCGGTGAAGGGAAGGTGCGCTGCATCCCTTTCAAGAAGTGCTTTGAGTCGACTCAAAAACACTCTTCTTTCACGAGGTGGTGTGGGGTCGGGTGGAGGGAAGTGAAAAGGGCAACGGCGGTGAAGGAAAGGTGCGTTACATCCCTTTCAAGAAGTGCACTCAGCAGCCCTCATGTTCCTCTTGAGAAGTGGATTATTTCTTCAGAAATCCGTGCGGCAACCACTGGCATAGGAGAAGCATTTGCAGAGCAGGAAGAGGTGAGGAAGGGGAGGGTGGAAGGGAGAGGGTATGCGGAAGGGAGGGGCGTCTGGGTGAGGAGTGCGCCTGCGCTGTGGGAGGTGAGGCTGTGCAGTGGGCTAGACGAGGGTGGCTTATCTGTGGGCCAAAACCTGTGGGCTAGACGAGGGAGTAGTGAAGGAGTCACTCAGGAGTCACTCGAGTGACTCGAGAGTAGGTGCAGGTGCAGTGGGAGGGAGCTGTCTAGTGGGCTAGACGAGGGTGGCCTATCTGTGGGCCAAAACCTGTGGGCTAGACGTGGGTCTAGGAGAGCAGGTGAAGTGCTAGGGGGAAGGAGGAATGGGAGAGGAAAGGAAGAAAAGCAGAAGTGGTTTATGAGAGGGATGGGGAGACAGAGCCGTAGGGTTGCGGCTGTGGGAGAGCCGTAGGTGTAGGGGGCTGTGGGAGAGCCGTAGGTGTAGGGGGCTGTGGGAGAGCCGTAGGTGTAGGGGGCTGTGGGCTGGAAGTCGGTACATGAGAACCAGCTGCAGAGCTAGGGGGGGGGGGGGAGATGTGGGAGACAGAGGTGTAGGGTTACGGCTGTGGGCTGGAAGTCGGTGAATGAGAACCTGCTGCAGAGCTAGGGGGAGGGGATGTGGGAGACGATTTTTGAGGCGCCTAAAAAATGAGGCGCCTCAAAAATGAGCTGCAGAGCTAGAAGGGAGGGATGTGGGAGACAGTGCCGTAGGGGCGTGAATCGATGAGTCCGTGT